ATATATATAAGAGGGGGAAAAAATGCTGACATGACACATCTCTATGGCCAAGAAGCCTATTTATTTTTTTACTTCTTTTTTCGCTTTTTCCTTACTTTTTTTCTTTTTTTTTCACTTTCTTTTTTTTCTCGGTAGTTTAGAGTCATCACATCACATGACATAAATAAATATAGTATTAAATGGTTTTCTTTACCTATTTTTTGATGCATGTCCTCTGTTGAACAATTCAAAAGTAACCTCCTTAATGAAAAATTGCAACTGCTAAATATAAAAAGACGTAAATGCCCCTTTAAAGTGCATTCATCATTTTAACTTTCAATGTTATCTCTAATTTTTAATTTTTCGTTTATTTTTTGGCTTTCTTTACCTATTTTTTGATTTATGTCCTATATTAAATAATCCAAAAGTTAGCTCCTTAAAAAAAAGAAAAAAAAGATGTAACTCCTCGAAAAGAAAAATATAACTACCTATAATAGTTATCAAGTTAACTTTTAATGTTATCTTTAATGTTAATGTTAACTACTTTTCATCTTCCATGTGTTAACATCTTTCTAAATAAATTTGGTCCTTATTGAACAATGCAAGCATATCACTTTTTTTTTCACTCTCTCAGCACTTTTATTTCTTTCCTCACTGCTACTATTTATTTCTTCTCCTATTACCCCCCCCCCCTCCTTCTTACTTTTTTACTTTTTTTCTTTATTCTTTCTTACTTTCTTGATTGTAGATAAATTTTGTGTTTCTTGTATCTTTGAGACCTTTTTTCGTTGAAAAGGGTTGAAAATTGTAATGTTAATTGTTACTATTCATCTATGTTATTTTATTTCTTCTACTTTTAATTGATATTAATTTGGAAACATTGTAATTTTGAATTTTACTACTCTTGCTTTAAATGCAAAAAAAATAGAATATCATTGTGCTTAGTGTATTATAAGTTCATGATGTTTTCTTTCTCATTTTTTTTTTATTTCATTGATTCTGATTTTGTGTTTTTTGCAGGTTGATTAATGTTATGTGTAATTGCCGCATTTGGATTATTTTGTTTATAAGGATGATGTTATGTCATTTTTTAGTTTGTATTCTCTAGCAATTGCAATTTGAAGGACATCTAAGTATATCACGTGGAATGGTAATTGATGCATCATTACATTTTGGCTGAAGTTTTGATTGATCAAATAAAATTTCAATCTACAAATTTAATTTTACGTGAAAAAGAAACGATAGTCAATTAATTTTAATTTTTTATAATTTATTTTTACTAATTTTGAATTTGGATTATTTTGTTTACAAGGCTGTTGTTAAGTTATTTTTTAATTTGTATTTTTTTCAGCAATTGCAATTTGCAAGACATCTTAGTATATCACGAGGAATGGTAATTAATGCATTATTACATTTTGGTTGAAGTTTTGATTGATCAAAATAAAATTTCCAACTACAAATTTAATTTTACGTTGAAAAAAACGATAGTCAATTTTTTTTGTAATTTATTTTTACTAATTTTCTTTACACCTAAACTATATAAAAGGATTTAAAAACAAAATAAGTTTCTTTAACTATTTCCTCCTTTTTCTTTTTTCGTTTCCCTTCTCTTATTTCGTTTATTTTTCAAATAGTTGGTGGAAATTTTGTCTTAGTAAAATAAATTTTTGAGTAAGCCGTAGTATAGGATAAACTTTTTGAAGAATTCTATGCTATGAATTCTGGTCAATTTTGTAGTGCCTTGTGGAGAGAAGTTTCTCTTTCTTTTTGGGTATAGCTGGTACATGAAGAATTTAAAGTACGTTATTATCATGCATTTTTTTTTTACCTCTTATACCTTATTCATGGTCATAATTAATAGTGTAATTTTGTAAATATCTATTGCTTATATGCTTATATAACAAAAAAATATTGTTGTGACTGTATTCAAAGATTGCGCCAATATTTTGTATTTATGAATCCTAATTCAAAATTATTTTTACTTACTGTGGTTTAAAATGAAAATAAAAGAGTTACTTGGGAAAATTGATGGGAGCAAAATGTCTATATACGAATAGTGTTAAAATGGAAAGCGACTTTTCAGATTTACGAAAAATTAGCCCGAGGAAAATGAAGAATAAATACTAAATGCACACCAAATATCATTCACTTAAACGCTTATAAAAATATGAAAAACGAACGTGTTATTGGAAAAATGTAACCAAATATATGTATTATTATAGGAAAAAAATATAATATAAGGATTCTAAAGTTTCCTGAAAACATTTAACCGAGTTATAAAATTAGTAGAAAATATTTTACTTTGAAATTTATCTTCTCCTAGAACGAGAAGAAACTAAAATAAACTATTAATAGAAAAATAAAATTGAAATCTAACTTTTTTGTACCAATAGAAAAATAGCTATATCTTTCTTAATTTTGTAAGTATTCAATCGTTTATTTTTTTTTAATTATTTTCACTGCTATGTGTTTGTTGTTTAATTTTTTTTTATTTTCATTACTATGTGTATTAAGACTTCCAGAGAGTGTCATCAAGTCTCTTCTAAACACACTTGGTAATATTTTAAAAGAATGAATGGTCATAATAATGTAGGACGAGTTAATTAAAAAAATTGAATGTAGACAACAGACTATATGTCAATGTTTACTTGCCTACATAATTATTAGTATGTCATTAATAGACAATTGACATTATTTGTATCGATGAGGCTAATATTTCTCATAGTTCTTCGTCTACCTCGATCCAATTAACAAAAAAATATCTCATAAATCCATTAACTTTTTTAACAAAATAACCGCGCGAAGCGCAATAAGTTCTCTAGTCTTTAGAATAAGTTTAGGGATGTTTCTGTTCATCGTGTAGCACAAGGATGTTGTTAATAGCCTGTTTGGCCAAGCTTCTTTTTGGCCAAAAGTGTTTTTCTTGGGCCAAAAGCACTTTTGGCAAAAATTGTGGTGTTTGGCCAAGGTTTTGGAAGAAAAAAGTGTTTTTGAGGAGAATCAGAAGCAGTTTTGGAAAAACAGAAAAAAGTAGTTTCTCTCCAAAAACACTTTTGAGAAAAATACACTTAGAAACAGATTTTAAAGCTTGGCCAAACACTAATTGCTGCTCAGAAGTACTTTTCAAACTAATTAGCTAAACACAAACTGTTTATCACCAAAAGTACTTTTGAAAAAAAATATTTATAAAAATAAGCTGATTTTTGCAGGTTGGCCAATCGGGCTATAAATTTGGTGGATTGTTGAGGGATGTTTTCGGCCAAAAACTACTACACTGCCGACTTATACAAACCCGTATTTTTGAAATAACACAAGGACAAAATGGTAAAAATAGCCATTATGCCCTCGTTATTAACCCGTCCCCTCTAATTCAAACCCTCTCTCACACTCGTTTTGCTCTAACATTTTTCTCTGCAGACGCTACAAACCCTAACCCTATTTCGCCGCAAGAACTCAGCTTTTCCGATAGGCTCCAGCTGGTAAGCAGTTCCCTGTGAAAGTTTTATCTTATTTTCTCCGTTTTGTGCAATATAGTTTGGAAATTCACTATTATTGATTTACTGAGCTGAATAGTTTTGTTAGATTTTGAAATAATTTGTTTTACAAGATCTATGATCTACTTACATGTAGAGTTAAGTAGCAAAAATGGGAGAGAACAAGGAGAACGATGCTTACGAGGAAGAGCTTCTCGACTACGAAGAAGATGATGAGAAGGCCCCCGATTCCGTCAACGGAAAAGTTAACGGCGAGTCCGCCAAGAAGTGAGCTTTATACTTCATTCTCTATGTTCTGTCACTTTTTTCTTATGTCTGTTTGAACATGCGAACTTACTATGTGTGTGTGTAAAGTAAGTTGTGCGCCTCAGCCCATGCCTCTTTGTGGAGTTCTTTTTCATATTTTTACTATGTAATCCTGTACCCGTATGCATGAGATAATCAATTCAATTGTTGCGGTCCATCCCTATTATGGATTGAAAGTGAGAATTTTTTTTCTCTATGTGCTTTAAAGTTAGTAAGTGAGATATAAATATGTATTTCTTATTTTTTTTTTAATATAGTTTGAGTTTGGAAGACGGGTGCCCTCTCTTATGTAGCCATGTCTATATAGTGAGACGTGAGAATTTTTTAAATATGTCTGCATGTTCATTTGATAAATGATTTAGTTTGCGACGATGTCTGGTTAATACTCCTCATCTTACGCCTAAGATTTTTTATTCTCGCATTAAGTCTGAAATGTTTTTGTCATGCTTTGTCAATATAGGGGTTATGTTGGAATTCACAGCTCTGGATTCAGAGACTTCCTTTTAAAGCCAGAGCTACTGAGGGCTATTGTGGATTCAGGGTTTGAGCATCCCTCTGAAGGCAAGTCATCTCTTATCTCTGCATTTGATTCTGCAATTTGCTGTTTTATGGGGTGTTTTATTTCCTTTTTTTGGGGATATTTTAATTACCAATAAGAAATATAAAATTTGTTGTTCTATCGGGTGTTATGTTTGCCATCATCTTGTTTAATGAATGATGTTCAAACATTTAATAAAGATTTTTGAGCTGTCTGAAGGCAATCTTCATTTTATTATGCTGTTTTATGGGTGTCAAATGGAAGTATTGAACTTTATTTGCTGTGTTTCAGTACGGATTGATAAAATATTTCATGATCCAACTTACAAATTGCGTAGGTCATGATGGGTGAGTCAATTTGGGCTAAACAACCAGTTATAGCACAAGCCACCCCAAGTGAAACTATTAGTTTGTTTTGTTTTTCTGATAATTTGTGTAATTAGCAAACGGAAAAGCTCTATTCTTTATGGTGTAGAGAAGAAAATACATATCCAATTCAATCAAAAAATGGCTTAATAAAGGGAAACTTGGTGAAATTGAATAGAGAGTAAATCACACCTAAAAATCCAGAACAAACTTAAAATTTTTATTTTGATGTCCTAGGACCTTCCCCAAGAACCCACTATTAGTTTGTTTTGTTTTTCTGGTAATTTGTGTAATTAGCAAACGGAAGAAGCTCTATTCTTTATAGTGTAGAGAAGAAAATACATATCCAATTCAATCAAAAAATGGCTTAATAAAGGGAAAGTTGGTGAAATTGAATAGAGAGTAAATTACACCTAAAAATCCAGAACAAACTTAATTTTTTATTTGATGTCCTAGGACCTTCCCCAAGAACCAACTGCAGCCTTTGGAACTCGGCGATAATGGGTCTGTCCCTAATACTATTCTCCAGTTAAATATCAAGCTTAGTTTGTATGGCACATGGCTCAAACCTGTGACCTAAGTCACAAGTCCTTCAACCTTTGCCACTTGAACTAAGCCCTGGGGATCCTAAAAAACTTATGCTATTTATAGAGAAGAGAGAGTGTGAAGTTATAGAGTGATATGTACCCATCAAAAAAAGTTTTTCTATCTTTTTCTTGATGAAGTAAGAAGATTCATTAGAGAGGCATCAGGTAGAAATATGCTTCTTTAAAGAGAGAGAAAGTTGGTGAGCAAAATTGAAAGAGAATAATTTCCAAGAGAAAGTGTGAAAATATATGTAGTGACATAAACCAACCAAGCCAAGCCAAAGAAGTTTTCTTTTTAAGGAGAGTGTAAAGGGGGGTATTCATAAAGAACTAACCAAAAAGATATTTCTGTATTTTGCGGCCAAATTTGGGTTTTGTCTGACTTGTGGCCCATCATTGAATATATCCCTATCCAAACACGTCCAAGTTTGGATGGGTTAAACGAGTTACATTTTCATTGACCAAGTTTGACAACTCTTTGAATCCATTTTGATCTCTGCAGTCTGGTTTCTTCACTCTGTAATTAAACATGAAACAGAGAAAATGTATCATCATATCAACTGTTTTAAGGTCTTCTAGTCCCAAAAACCCTAAAAGGGATACATCTGTATTTCAAAGTATAAATGTTTTCATCTTTGTTTTCAAAACATCTTTGGTTCCTCTCATTCCAAATCACCCTCCTGACACAAGCAGGAATAGTCTCCCATATCTTCCTCTTCCCCTTCCCAGTGCCCTGCTGTGTATTTATGATATTGGTGTAATGCGGAATAAATTTTTGGATTCATATCGCCAATCGGAATTAGTTTCTGTTGTTTGATTGATTGAATCCTTAAAAAAGTCCATCTTCTCCAATAATTTGAATTTATTATCCGGTTTACCTTCAAGTTTATGCACTAGTTGTAGGTGAACAGTTCTATGGGTCAAAAACCTTTCTTTGAGTTTTGTAATCATAAGCTCATGGTGTTATATATAGCATCTGGATGTGAAACAAATTGTACTTTAGTGTTCTGGATTGTGGTCAAGGTGTTTCTTTTAGGGTTATATTTTTGTATTTTTTGCAATGTATGCTGATTCAAGCTCCCCTTTCTCTCTTTGATTATTCATTCATTGTCTTGGGCAAAACCTCACCCTGTTTGCTTACTGTGTAGTTCTTGACAATCTATTTCTCTATCTATTTTCAGGTAAATTATTACTATCACTACTATTTTGGAGAAGTGTACAGTGGTAAACTTTTTTAAACTGAAACTGAGGCCTTCTTGGCTCCACTCTATTTGGTTCTCTTCATCAGTGCAACATGAGTGTATTCCACAAGCTATTCTGGGTATGGATGTTATTTGTCAAGCCAAATCTGGAATGGGCAAAACGGCTGTTTTTGTTCTTTCGACTCTGCAACAGATTGAACCTGTTGCTGGTCAGGTTGCTGCCTTGGTTCTATGTCATACAAGGGAATTAGCTTATCAGGTATGTGATGAAATCTGCAGTTCTGTTTCAAAATCAACTTTCGTTTATTTCCATTTATTTAAGTAACCCTCTTTCGTGTGGGACTCGTTGGCTGTCTGCAGATCTGTCATGAATTCGAAAGGTTTAGTACATATTTGCCCGATATCAAGGTTGCTGTTTTCTATGGTGGTGTGAACATCAAACTTCACAAGGAGCTTCTGAAGAATGAATGCCCTCACATTGTTGTTGGAACTCCTGGGAGAGTACTTTCATTGGCTAGAGATAAGGACCTATCTCTAAGGAATGTGAGGCATTTTGTTCTGGATGAATGCGATAAGATGCTTGAATCACTTGGTATGTCTTGGCTTACTATTCTGCTTTCATGAAACTAGTTGCCCATTTCTACGATATTCTCTTTTTGTATTGATACGATACATGTACTTTGTTTGCAGACATGAGGAGAGATGTGCAGGAAATTTTCAAGATGACTCCCCATGACAAGCAAGTAATGATGTTTTCAGCAACACTCAGCAAGGAGATCCGCCCAGTTTGCAAAAAATTTATGCAAGATGTAATGTCCTCTGCCAGCTCTACTTGAAATTCTAAGTTTTCTGTTTTCCGTAATTTCAGATTTCTCCAGGCACTTGGTAGTGAATTTATTTGGTCAAAGCCAGAGGGACGTGTACAAAGAAAATGGGTTGCACTGAGCTTGTAGTTCCTTTGTCTTCTTCCAATTGTGCTTGTATCAGAAGTTCCTAGATAATTTTTTAAAAAGCCTGGAGTGTTGGGGGAAGGTATTGAGTACAAAGAAAATGGGTTGCACTGAGCTTGTAGTTCCTTTGTCTTCTTCCAATTGTGCTTGTATCAGAAGTTCCTAGATAATTTTTAAAAAAGCCTGGAGTGTTGGGGGAAGGTATTGAGTAGAATGGGATAATCTGGGTGGAATCGGTGCTTGCACTGTTGCTGGAAAGATTCTTGTTAGTGCAGTTGTAAAACATACTGAGCAACAATGAGACATAGTTCTGATTTTACATCTCCAAGGAGAAAGTGCACAGATGGACTTCCAATTCATCTTCATCCATCATTTGTTTCATTCTGGATGTCATTAGCTTCACGAAGCTCCTAACATGCTTTACTATGACATTTGTTCCTTTCAGCCTATGGAAATTTATGTTGACGATGAGGCCAAGTTGACCCTTCATGGACTTGTACAGGTACATCTTGGGTGCATGCATATGATGCCATGTATTTCTTTACGTCAGAGTTAGCTTTCTTATCTTGTTTCTATTCGATAACAGCACTACATTAAATTGAGCGAAACCGAGAAAAACCGGAAACTAAATGATCTGCTGGACGCCTTGGACTTCAACCAAGTTGTTATATTTGTCAAGAGTGTAAATCGGGCAGCACAGCTGGATAAATTACTAGTGGAGTGTAATTTTCCATCTATCTGCATCCACTCTGGCATGACGCAGGAAGAAAGGTTTGTTACTGTTGTTGAAAGGCGCTTCTTCTTTTGTACTTGTTTATTCTAGTAAACATTAAATATGGAACAGTATACATTTTTTGTTTTATAAATTTGCGCATAGTGCAATAAAGTAGTGGTAGAGTCTTTTTAGCACTAGCGTGCTGCAAGTTTATCATTTATTAAATATTGCGTTACTTGTAAAAACGTAAAAATAAAGTAGTGGTAGCAACTTGTCACCCAAGAAAGGGGGTAACAATAGCCAGATAATCAGTTAGAATGTCTTTCTAACATCTTTTTATGGTTTAGACGATGAGATAGGATTTTTTTTGTTGTATCTGCTATTTTGACTTCTTCGTTTTCGTCCTGTTGACATAGTTAAAGCTTGCAGGCATCTTCTCTCTAATTTCCTGACGACTTTATTGCATGTCAGTTGTTTGGAATAAGAAGGGTGTGAAATTTATAAGATGCTATTCTTGATGTTTTGTTAAACTCTTTGTAATTGTGACTGCGGTTCTTTGACATTTCTGCGTTTGGATGGATAGATTGACTCGCTACAAGGGTTTCAAGGAGGGTCACAAGAGAATTCTTGTCGCAACTGATCTGGTTGGTAGGGGCATTGACATCGAAAGGGTCAACATTGTTATTAACTATGACATGCCAGATTCTGCAGACACTTATCTTCACAGAGTAGGTCCTACTTTCTTTGGAGTCGCACTTTCAACTTTTGACATCTACTTATGCTTGTAGTGTTAATTCTTTTATGTTTGAAAACATTGATAGGTGGGTCGAGCTGGTAGGTTTGGAACTAAAGGCCTTGCCATCACATTTGTGTCATCTGCATCAGATTCTGATGTTCTAAATCAGGTTTGGAGACTGTTGAATATTTTATCTTGTTATATGATATCTTTTTGTCCATATGATTCTGAGTTGCTTGTGCTTCACCATTGTAGGTTCAAGAAAGGTTTGAAGTAGACATAAAAGAGCTTCCTGAGCAGATTGATACTTCTACATACAGTATGCCCTTCTTCTCTTGGTGTTTGATTTATTGCTTTCTTTAAGTTTTCTTGGTGTTTATGTACTTTTTTGGTGTATGCAGTGCCATCTTAGCGATCTCGAGAGCTTCCAGCAATATCAAGTCATTTCGGCTAAAAGATGGGGGGAACTGACAGGTGTTTTGCTATTGTTGTTAATTTGAAGAATTGGTGGCCTCCTACTATATGCTCTTGCACTGCTGAGCTGCTGTACCCTTGTTGAACTACTCTTTTCTCCTCAGTTAAGAGGAGCACTACAATGTCTCTGTTTTTATTTTTTTAAGCGCTATAACTTATTCCCAATGAATTTTATTATGCTTAGTTGCTGAATCATATTAATGTTAGCTGGTACTTTAACATGCATAATATTTGGTTAATTCGAGTTTCTGGAGCTATTTTCCTGATGGTTCTACACTGCTGGGATCATGTTGTGAAGACCTGGTGGAAGTCTGTTATAATCCTGTGCAATTGCAGAAATTGTGGTGATACGATGGGGAATTTTGTTACTATCTTTAAGGGGTTAGGAGTTGGAGGTACTCAATTTGGCATGATGAATTATTTCCATGGATAGCACTCGTGATAAGTGATAAGATGTATAAGCATATACAAATTAAATAATTAAACAGCAGATAAAGAAAGAGCTGTTTACAACACTCTATAGTAAAACAAAACATAATTCTAGCGAAAAATACAAAAGCAATTTGGGCAATGAGTCGACAAGTCAAGGTTAGAGCTACGAGACCATATCTTATCTTTGGATGGAAATTAAAGTCCCTACTTAGTGGAAGTCAAAAACCTGTACCTACATGATGCAGGATGAACTGATGATTCAATCCGATACCACGATGAAATTATATTTCAGATTACATTGCTCATAACTAGAATTAAACTCAAAATACATTAACGTTGACTCCTAAGGATTATTCTCTCATTCCAGATTCATCTTTAAATCCCAGAAAGAAAAAAGAAATCCCACACAAGAACAGGGAAACAATCAAAACTATGACTCTGCCAATTTCCATTAAACCATACACCACTATTATCCACATCACCACCTAGACTAAGACTTCTACATAAAATCTAAATTCTTCACTTTTTCTCATCCCCTCAAAAACACAGTCCAAACTCTGTATAACTCCCACCACTCTCCTCTATTTGAATGTTGTCTTCACTGTATTAAATTTATTTAATGGACTCGTTCCATCTCGACCAACCCCTTTTCAATATTCTTCTCCCGTTTTTGTTTATAATAAAAGGTATAAACTGATTTTCCTCTTTGAGTTGTACTTTTTAACTGTCATTCCTACCTTTTCTTTCCGAGATAAAGATCACTTTACTGTATAATATTAATTTTACTAGAAGAAATAAACTCAGAACTACAAGGTATACTATGGTCCCCAATTCCTAGTAAACATCGAAGTATTAGTTCAAAAAACACGTGTAATTTTTTAAAAATAGAAAAGACTTTTACAGACTCAATGTAATAATGTAATGTAGCATATAGCTATCTTGGTAATTGTTTTTAAGTATCCTAAATCCTAATTCTATTAAATAACATTTACCGTAATTAGAATTGAACTCGAAGAGCAAAACAAGACTTCTACATAAAATCTAAGTCCTTCACTTTTTCCCCATCTTCTCAAACTCTATACACAGCCCAAATCTCTCTGTTAACTCTCACCACCCTCCTCTTTTTCCCACCACCACCTCCTCCGCCGTCAACCGCCACCATGACGGGCAAAGGTGGCGCCACCCTCTCCGGCGGAGTAATGAAGAAGATAATTGTTTCCTACACCTACTTAGGAATCTGGATCCTCCTCTCTTCCTCTGTAATTGTATACAACAAATACATTCTTGACAAAAAACTCTACAACTGGCCTTTCCCTATTTCCCTTACAATGATTCACATGGCCTTTTGTTCATCACTAGCTTTCTTCCTCGTACGTATCCTTAACTTTGTCGAACCTGTAACCTTGTCCCGCCACGTGTACTTTACATGCGTACTCCCCATTGGTGCACTTTACTCTCTGTCCCTCTGGCTCTCAAATTCTGCTTATATTTACCTCTCTGTTTCGTTCATCCAAATGCTCAAAGCCCTTATGCCAGTTGCTGTTTACACGATTGGAATCTTATTTAAAAAAGATACTTTCAAGAATTCAACTATGTGTAACATGCTGGCTATTTCAGTTGGTATTGCTATTGCTGCTTATGGTGAAGCAAAATATGATTCTTGGGGTGTTTTGCTTCAGTTGCTAGCTGTTTTGGTTGAAGCAACTAGGTTGGTTATGGTCCAAATCTTGTTGAATTCAAAGGGAATTAGTTTTAACCCTATAGCTACTTTATACTATGTTGCTCCTAGTTGTTTGGTTTTCTTGTCAATTCCTTGGATATTTGTGGAGCTTCCAATTTTGAGAGCAAGTAACTCTTTCAAATTTGATTTTGTGATATTTGGTAGTAATTCATTGTGTGCATTTGCATTGAACTTGGCTGTATTCTTGGTAGTGGGAAAGACTTCAGCTTTGACAATGAATATTGGTGGAGTGGTTAAAGATTGGCTGCTAATTGCATTTTCTTGGTCAGTGATTAAGGATACTGTAACTCCAGTGAACTTGATTGGGTATGGATTAGCATTCTTGGGAGTTGCTTATTATAATCATCAGAAATTGCAAGCATTGAAAGCAAATGAAGTAGAGAAGAAGTCTCAGCAAGAAGATGAGGAAAGTGGGATATTGTTAACAGAGAGAGAACAGAGTGGATCAGGAAAAAAGGGTGATTCACAGGACTGATTTGAAGGTTTTGTTTGAAGAATTTGGTTTTATTGACAAAAGGGTATGAAGTTATTAACTTAGTTTTGCATAGCATGAAATAGTATTTTTTTTTTTTTGGGGGGGGGGATGGCTTTTGCTCTTGGATGGATGGATCTTGGTTTTTAGGTATGTTGGCTGGATGATCTGTTACTGTTTTTTGATAAATTAACTTTTCTTTTTTCATATATAGGATTTTTGGGATATTCAAAGGTCTTAGCAGCTTTGACTGCAAATTAAATTCATATATTATGGTTAGTGTTAATATTTTAGATAGCTCAATAGCTGTTTCTATATTCTGCTACAAGATTTTCATTTTTCCTCTTCCTCCCCTCTGTATGCGTGCTAGCTATTTTTGTTCTCTGGTTCTAGCTGCAAAGGCAAGTAACGATGCAGTGTTTGAGTGGAGCCTTTAGGGGAAATAGCAAGTTATGTAATGAGAGGCAACTTGAATTCAACAAGTTATTCCCCTTTTTCCTCTTTGGATTAGGTACAGTTGAGGTAGCAGACCTCTGTAAATGCAGATGAGAACATTTTTTTTAGTCTGTGGTTAATCAAACCTTACTAGCCCGACTAACTTAGATATGATGTTTGCTAAGTTAAGAGAAGTTCTACTATTAGAGAAATTATTATTTTTGTTGATATTTTTATTTTTATATAATATTGGAATGACACAGATTTATATGAAGCGACATGAACAAAGAATGAAGCCAGATCCCAATTTGCATATTCTAAAATGTATATTGTGTCACACTTGGATGTCCCAAGTGATATACAGAGTTAGCTTGCTTTGTTCTGCATATTCTAATTTCAATTTGTTACCCGAGGTGGTCTTCTCTCTCTAGTGGATTGAGTTCATATTGATGCCATTTGCAATTTCAGATCTGTTCTTGCAACCTATTGAGATAGTTTTCTGCTGCACGTTAAAGTTTTGAAGAAAGAGGAAATCCGCCATAAGTTCATGGGAATCTTACCTTTATGGGGATACTTTTATCGTTTTCCTCTGTTAACACACTTTAATGCAGTTGAAGTGATGATTCTTGCATTAAAGTTAAAACTTTAAGCCACAAATATTGCCAACTTTTACACCGAAGTTTACAACTTCTTTTTTTTGCTGAATTTACTACCTTAGTCACTTATTGTTTGTGAACAATTGAAGTAACACGGCATTGTGGAGTCTAGTCCATCTTATGACTTGACTGGGTATCTGCAATGTGATTGATGGACGGTTAACTTTGATAATCAAATGTTTTTATTGGATCCTAGTAACTTGATGCAACATAGAATGATCCAAACTGGGGTTTCTTCGACAATTACACTTGTAAAAAAAATAATATTATCTTGTTGGAGTAGCCCAATGTACATTATACAAAGAAGACTATTCTCGTCACTTTCCTTTCTCTATTCTATCCTTTTTCTCGGATTTGACTTAATTGAGTAAACTGTAGTATGTGCTTTTAACAAATATAATGCATCTTTCTTTTAATTTTAAAGAAAATATGAGATTTTACTGAAGTTATAGACGATAAGCTAATTCAGTATCTGCTGCATAACCATCAAGTTAGGGCAGTGGATTGAACGTGGAAGAAAGAAATGTATGTCAGCCAATGGCACCTATTTTATTGGTCCTACTTTTTTAAACATGGAAAAAGAAATCGTATTTGTTGTATATCACGATCTTAAATCATTTCCAATGCAAGAATGTACAGCTTTGATAGTCATTTACTTCATCAAACAAACTAGAATGGTTTAGGTCATATCATGTGTTTACAGAAAACCGAGGATCAAGTTCCTGAATTTTCTTCTGTTACGATTTAGGAATCAAAAGCATTTCCAAATACAACATCTCACAGCACAAAGCATCTTTTTGAGGGGCAGCGCAATGACAAAGCTCCTGCTTTGGCAGGGTCCGAACAACATCGAGTCTATTACAGTTTATTACGTGCAATCTTACCTTATATTTCTGTAAGAGGCTGTTTCCACGGCTTGAACCAGTGACATCCTGATCACATGACACCAACTCTTATTGTTGCGCCAAGTTCCCCCTTCTCAAAGCATCTTTATGAATTAAGATAAATTTATTACGTATACTTCAAATATTGTTATGGGCATTTTTTTGTTTTATCAATTGTAAACGGCTCATGCATTCATCACTTTTGCTCAGGATTGATGTCATGCCACAATTCAAAGACAACCAATTGAGCATACCTGCCTTCATGACGAAGTTTAAGGAAGCCAACCATGCCATCGTTACGTGTTCCACCCAAACAATGCCTCCACGTAGAGATACAACGGAACTCACAGGTGAAGCAAAGAAGATAATGTCCCCCAGGTTCTCTGGATTTTAGACGTCCCAAAATATCTTCTTTTATAGCATGATACTTCTAGTTCCGGCGTTTATGCAAGAAGATCATGCATATTGGATAAGCCGCTCAGCTATCAATGCTCATGGCAAAGAAACTCCTGACTTGCCAGGACTGCTATTGAACGTCATGTACATAACGCTACCAGAAGTCTTTACATGAGCAAATCCCATCTATAAAGCGGTGAAATCGGTTCCTGTCCCTGACCAATATTTCTCGCTTGTAAGTCTTCGAAATGAATTTAGTCGCAGAGTGGCAATCTTCACAGACTCGTAAGTTTTTCACAATTCGGATAGGAGTTCCGGGAGGTGTCTTCATAAGGGCAAATGCAATAGCAAGCTTTTCGCTATGCCTATTTAAAGCACCCTCTTTATCTTCTTCATCAATATCAAGTAGCACTTCTGATGTTGAAGCAATATATCCAGCTCTGCTAATCTCCTTCCCAATATCATCCACCATCTGAAAAATAATCTTGTACTCGCTATGACTTTTATCTCCTGCCACAAATTCATAGATTTCATTGTACAGCTCAATCATAGTGCTCCCTGGAACCTTTCTCATTCCCTTCTTCACCATAACTTCCCTAATCATGGTCTTCTTCTCCCAAGAAAACATTTTTGCATAAATGTTAGAAAGTAGTACGTAATTAGAGTCATGCGTAGGTTCATGTTTTATCAACTCTTTTGTTATTTTTTCACCAAGCTTCAGTTCACCATGAGCACGACAAGCAGTAATAAGTGTTCTCCAAATTACTGGGTTTGGTTTAATGGGCATTCTCTGAACAAAATCCAATGCTTCTTGAACAAGTCCAGCTCTGCATAACAGATCAACCATGCATCCATAGTGTTCTATCTTTGGTGAAATCCCGAATTCCTTTGTCATCGAATAAAAGTATCCCTTACCTTGCTCAACTAAACCCGAATGGCTACAGGCAGTAAGCAACCCAATAAAGGAAACATCATCAGGTACAACCCCATCTTTCTTCATCTCCTCAAATAATGAAACAGCCTCAGCTCCCCGGCCATGCATCGCCATACCATCTATTACAGAAGTCCAAGAAACAATATTCCTTTGACTCATGCTCCTGAACAAACTCAAAGCTTTATCAACATCACCACATTTCGCAAACATGTCAATTAAAGCATTCCAAAGAACAGCACTCTTCGGAACGTTCTCCCTCTTTATATATGCCTCGAGCCACTTCCCTAGCTCAAGTGCACCCAAGTCCGTACACGCAGACAACAAACAAACCATCGTAACTTCATCGGGTGCTACCCTAGCAACCTGCATTTCTCTAAACAACTCTACAGCCTCACTAGACAAACCCCATCTCACATAACCACCTATCATAGCACTCCACCCTACTGAATTCCATTTAGGCATTTCATCAAACATCTTCCGCCCGTACTCAATCCCACCACCACAACTACAGTACATGTGAACCATAGTATTCAAAACATGAGAATCATCATGAAACCCAAGTTTCACCACTGACCCATGAACAATGTGGCCTAATTTCAACTCACCAATACCAGCACAAGCCTTAAGAACAAAAGGGTACGTAAATTTATTAGGCCAAATACCATAACTTAACATTTTACCATACAAACACAAAGCATTATGCTTTAAATCACTAGTTACAGCGTAACTTCTGATAATGGTGTTGAAAAGAAAGACATCAAAGAAATGGGGTTCGACATATGGGGAGAAAATAAATGATGAAGCATAGGTAATGGCGTTGAGGTCAGAGGAAATGGAGGTGAATTTAGTGAGGACAAGTGGGTTATTTTGTAGGCCCAATTTGAAGATATGGGATTGGAGTTGAAGGAATTTTGGAAGAGAATTGCAGAGTTGGAGGAGAGATAAGCAGTTTTGCTCTGCTGCTCGTTTCTTGCTGATGGGTTTGTGAAGTGAACCGAATAGCTTTGTTTTGGAGGGCAAATGATTCATCTAGTTAGATGTCATCAATGGCGAGAAACGCTAATAGGAGTATATGATTTTGTGTCTTTCGCTAATAGGAGTATATTATTTTTATCATTCTTTCGTAACAAAAGTTTGTAGGCAGAGATAATAAATAAGAATATGAACTGAATGAATGATATATAAATGACACTCTTTCTTTTGCGTGTTATGCATTATTATTGTTAATACATACACCATTATTTTACAATACAAGTTCGTTTGTATACGAGAAAATAATCATGAAGTATGCTTGACTAATGTTTTCATAATACATCACTAATGCAAATATTGAATAATTAATACAAGGTTTAGTTTTTGGAATAAAACTTGTGATTATTTGGTTTCCCATATGCGTTTACGCATCACTTTTAAAAAAACAATGAAAGTATAACTATATTAAAAGCACGAATGCCCTTAGCGAAATGTCGTTCGCCTTTTTTGCCCTTCGTAAGTATATTTTATGTTGGATAAAATTGTAATATGTAAATATAAACCAAATTTTTGAAATTGAACCAGGAATTAATGTCAATTCTGACTTAGAATTCTTTTACCAAAATTGTGCCAAACACGTAATAAGTGGGTAACTTTAATCAATATGGCTAACAAATAGTATCCAAGCAATTACGCTCACTTTAGATTTAGGATTCTTCTTCCAAAATTTGCGCAACAATTAATGCTCTAGAACTAGGATTCTTTTACTAAAATTTCTGTATAGTATCACTTTATACAGAACATGTTGCTAGACGAGACTAACAACTTTGGATGGTTGTTACCGATTGTATTGTATTCTACTGTTACTTTAAATACGATGTTTGTTTTAATTGATACTTAAATTTTATAGTATCATATCGTTAAATCCGTCGTTACGTAACGATGGAATATATAGTATAGTTATTATACTACAATATATTTGTATGATGAAGCACGTACCGAAATAAACTGAAGTAAGAACCACTCACCCGAATTCCTAAAACTGATTAATGTTTATCAGTTTTAGGAAGACACAATTTTTCAATAAGTTTTATTTTATAACGCAAACACATATTTTGGATATTATTCATATAATTCTAAAAAAATTATTATTATTGACACATAATACAAGCGCACGCGCGTACCCAAAGACTAGTGTATTACTAAATACAAGGGGTCGTTTGGTAGGGTGTGTAAGAATAATGTTGAATAAGGTATATAAGTAATACAAAATTAGTAATGCATGAGTTAGTAATGCAAGTATTAGCTACACAGAGATTATTTCTTATCCATTTGTTTTGGTGTGGTGTATTAAAAATTAAAATGCATTGCATAATTTTTAAGAAAATTAGTTATTTATAAAAATGCCCTCCATATTCTTTAGCTTTAAGGGACTTTAAGGATAGTTTTATCTTTAACCATGCTAATGCAAGTGTTAATACCTTTGATATTGCTAAGTTTGCTATGCATTAGCTATACATAGGATAATACCAAACAGGGAGTATAACTAATGCTTGTATTAGTTATACATAAATTAAAAAAATGTACCAAACAAGGTATTGCTAATACACATAGCTAAATGCATGCATTATTTTCTCTAATGCACCCTACCAAACGACCTCATAATTTATGCATAGATTTACAATTTACTTTTATGTTGGATAAAATAAAAATAAAACGAACATTACTAATTTAAAATGATAAAATTACTTCTCTAATTTTGACAATATATCTCCAAACCTTTAATAAGAAAATTTGTAGTATTATTGTTGTATTACTATAAATAAATTATACATATTAAAATGTAAGAAGTGCGGAGTGGTGATTATTGATTAATGAAGTGAAATTCGTATATTAAGCATTTGTATTACCAAAAGTAGAAACTAGCTAATGTGATTGAATAGACAAAAACGATTGGACCCTCGTATGGCCACGTCTGTCCTTTTCTTTCCTCTCTTCTCTACTACGCATTTGGCGCACTTTTCTAACGAACCTCATTCTCCACACGCTGCTTCTCCGTTTCGTGCAAATGAGAAAGCTTTCTGTTTTTCTTTCTCTTGGATTGTCTCACAGATCCTCCAAATTCCGCAGCAGCAGCAGCAGCAGCAGTAATAATAATGCTCTTCGCTTTTACTGCAATTCCCCTTCTCCCTCCAACAATCCTGGTCAGTCCCTTCCCCTAATTCTTTCTTCTTTCTTTCCATTTTCTAGTGAATAAGCTTTGAATTCAGGTGTCTGTGTAACAATTATTGATGATTTATAGGATCTGATGAGAATTGGACCAAAAGTTTGTTGTAGGATTATTTAAAGTTACATACTGTAATTAAATGAAATCTACTACTTTTTCATCAATCTAATGTGAGTTCACTTCACTTCCAATCAAATTGAGCTAGAGCTGGGGAAAGATAAATCGGTATATTTTAGGGTGTAAGAGGGAAATTCACTTGCTTTTCTTAGCCAATTCCCATTTTTATGTCACGAATATTAGGCTTTTTTGAAAAACATTATGACGGTGGTGTCTAGGCCAGTTTGCGGCGCAACTCGACTACTCCACTAGGTACCTACTAGGCCAACCAGCACAGCTACCAGGTAACTCTCCTCACCTTGTGTATTTATGCTTCCCCACTTCACTGACCACTAGGCCACATCCTTGTGTGCCACCTAGATTAGGTTTATATAATGCGCCTACACGTGTTCTCGAAATTATGACTCATTGCTTTAAACCTCAGCTTATCATTGAACGTTGGAGATGCTAATGCTTGAGAGTATGGAGTTCCATTCACAAGTCACTAGCAGAAAGCTCAGTTCTCTATGTGAACAAGGCAGTTTTCATGGTTGGATTGCGTCTTCCTTTTCTCTTTTCCCTCCCTATCATACCTTGACAAAACCGTGAATGAAGTTCTTAGAAGTTAGAACACTAAGATTGTGGACGTGCAATGCTTGAGGAAGTTGAAAACTCTTAAAATTTTATTCTTGGTTAAAATTTGAGTGTGAATTGGATCTGCTCCTCCAGTTAGCTTCAGCTATCTATTTAGCTTTTCCCCCTTTAAGTTGATGAATAGTTAACGGAATGCCATTATAAGTTATACCTTGACAAATGACACATTGGTATTTTGCTTAACAACTAGAAAAACCCAGCACAAGACATTAACACTTTTAGCTATTATTTGGCAAGTGTAACGTCTATAAGTATCTTGTGCATAGATTCCTTATATTGCCAAATAAATGATAAGAGAAATCTAGAACATATTGCTCTTCCTGATAAAATATTTCATACTATATTTCCTGCTGAAATATTTTGGTCAAGTCTATAACCGCTTCTTTTTCTCGATTATTACTCATAGCAACTACTATGTTCGAAGCAAGATTCATCTAATTCATATTACATGTATGCATAATGAGAATTGTGGAGACTTGAGTCTGAACTGTGCTCCATGTTGATATTTAATGAATACATGACTAAATAGAAAAAAAACTGTGCGCCAGTTTGGCTGGTTGCTTTACTCTTCTCGTCGATCTTTCTTACTTGTTCTATATTTCAAAGTAATGCTGCTCCCTTTTTCAGGACTACTTGCACATTATAGGAGTCTTGTTGATCAGGGGAAACTGCAGCATGATCCTTACCAGGAAAAAGTTGCTTCTGAACTAGAAAATCTTCTTGGAAGGTTGGTGCAATATGAAAAGGACATGGAGGAATATCATGTGAGTTTTATATAGTGATAACAAACTTAATTGAAGTCATCGATTCAGTGTCGTCCTAAGGCTTTGTTTTTTATTTCCATTTTTAGGCAAAACTTGCACAGTGGGAGGATAATAGGGAAAATCAGAGGCGTAAGCTTCTTACGGAGGAAGCTGAGGCCAAACAACAAGGTGCATTTACACCAATAAACAAATCTCGCAATATTTTCCAAAGGTGGATGTCTCGGTGAGTGTGCATTTTCAACATTCTTATGGAAATGCTTTCCATGCAATAGTTTTTGTTGGTCATAGTTTCTTCACTTTAAATAAAGCAGGTTTGTTTTTCTAAACAAAGTGAGAGAAATTGTTTTGGTTCTCAAAGAGATCCATCAAGGAATTAAAGGGATAAGGTGATCTTACTTCTTGATACTTCGAATGCATTGATTGGTGGTTTATCACATTCTCTTTTCTAATTGAGTTGGTCCAGTTTATTTTTTTAGACTGTTTATTGTGTAATGAATTTCCTTGTTGCATATATCCTATTCAAAAGAAATAACAATGTTTACACATTCATCACTCATATATACCATCATTGTGGTCCTTCAAGTTATTCTTTTAAAAGAAATTTAAACTTTTGGTGGAGGAAGAGCATTGTGAAAGATATGGACAATGTATGTATCTGAGTGATTTAACAGAATTTTTACTAATTTAAAGAATAAAAAAAAGAAAGTATGTCACTGCCATTAGTATAAAGTAAAAATTCATTTCCTTCTTCTTCACTGTCAGTGGTTTAATTACCATTATCTTTTTGACTCAGGAAAGCTGAAGATGTAGAAGAGGGAGTCGGGAAATGGGTTTCATATCTTAATCGCGAGAAGAAGTTAGACTCACTAGTCGGTCGCCGTCCTGCTGCTCCTCCAGCCCCAAAAGGACTATACCTATATGGCAATGTTGGGAGTGGTACAATTGCTTCCTGTTTATATATGTTGCATGGTAGTTCATACATGCTGTACAAATTCGTCTCATCCTCATTTTCCATTATGATGAACATTTGCCACCAGTAAATGTTTTAGGTGTTAGCTTCTATTCACGATCAGTATCAGCCATGTTTTACTTGCAGACATAAGTAAATCTGACTATATATTGGACATCATGTAGGGAAGACAATGCTTATGGATATGTTTTATAAGGCCAGTGATGGAATTGTGAAACATCGAAGAAGGTTTCACTTTCACGAGGCGAGTGCTTGTTTGGATTTATATTTTGACTTGATTTGTCACATTCTACACATCAATCAATCAATTGATCAACTACTCATCAAACCAAATTAGTTGGGGCCGGCTATATGAGCCCTATCGTTCCACGCTCTCAGGGCCATTTCATCCAAATACTTGTCAGGTTCAATATATGCTATGAGAAACTTTCATCTCAGTTTTCTAAAACATTTTAGTCTGTCTTATCCTGAATTGCACTTCCTCACTAGTGTCTATAAGCAAAATTTCACAGGTCAAGCTTGACAACTTGCAACGCAAGACTAACTGTCTATCCAAAAACCACAGGTAGATGACATGTAGTTGACCGACATTGTTTTGATGCGAAAAGAAAATAACTGGTAGTTGTCTGATGCTGATAACAAATAGCTGCTTAATAGGAAAATCTCCTAGATCTTTATGTGAGGTGGTGCAGTAATAATCAGCAAGAAAAGTACATTTGTCTGGGAAGGATGAATGAGTAAGAGTTCGATGTGATATGAGGTAAAGCATATTGGAGTTGACGCATGAAACATTAAAACCCTTTTGGTACCTGCATGGGCTACTGGATTTGTATATATCTTCTGGTCCACCACGTTGCTTCTGTAATGAAATTATCTTAAGAGTCATAAAAGATCTTGATTTTTCAATCATTGTTGCTGGCATGAAGTTGGTCGGCATAATATGGGCCACGCTAGTATGGGTTCCTGAAGCAAAAGAATCATCTGGTCTATATCTGATTACTCTCGAGTCTCGAGTAGTTCGCCAAGTTCTCTCTGTTTTCAAGAAACATCAGGATTGAAACCTGTATGAAGCATGCTTATTGAATGGCCAAAGCATTATGTGTGGGTTTTTCTATATGTACTCATGTTAATCTGCCTATGTCATGCACTTCAATACTTGAAATGGTCAAACAATCCAATCACTCTGCTCTGTGATCACAAGAGTTGTCATCTACTGTACTTACTGATTTTTTCCAAATGTTGCAATTGCCAGGCTATGCTTGAAATTAATGAACATATGCATAAAATTTGGAAGACTCAGATGGAACAAAAGTCTCTGCAGTCAAGTATTTCTGGTTGGGTCATGAATCTTCCTTTTGATTCAAAAGTTAAAGAATGGATAGCTGCTGAAGAAAGATATAAGCAAGAGGTGCAGATGAAAAACATTCTTTTGGACGTAGCTGACAAGTTTCTTGTTAACCAGGCAGGTCGTAGGAGAGGTGCTAGCATCCTTTGCTTTGATGAAATACAGGTAAACATGGTTAGATTTTGTTTACCGGAACTTTTCTGACCTTACCACCACACATTATATTGTTACTGAACTTAAAGTACGAGAAACGAACTAGGTTTTTGCCAACTTCACATCTTCAGGAGCTGCCGTTATGATTTTTATCAGATACAGTCGATCCAAAGAAAAGAATAAGAAGTTAGCTACAGTAAACCTCAGCTTCAGTATTATATTTTGTCTCATTCAATCTGTTTTTGTTATTGTTAAAAATACACCATCCAGTATATCTGGAAGTCTGCATTATTTGCTAGAGCCGTCTCAATCTTCTTCTCTATTTATTTTGTGGAATTACAACATTAAGTTGGCAATACTTTTGAAAAAGTTGTAGCAACCTATTTATGCTGGGGTCATGTGTTGCAAAATGAATCAGACTGAAGATTACCTTTTTTGTGTGGTGACAGACAGTTGATGTTTTTGCTATTGTGGCATTATCTGGAATTCTTAGTAGATTGTTGAGTACTGGAACTGTTCTGGTGGCAACCAGTAATCGTGCTCCAACGGATTTAAACCAGGTGCATTTAAAGTATTTCTTCTGGAAAAGCAACGCAGTATTCTTTTTCACTCTCAAAAAGTATTCCATTTGCATTTTCTAACTCGCCTCGCGTGATTTTGTTGCAAGTTTTGACTTGGAACTTGGAAGATGAATATAATGGCAGTCTCTGATTCAAAGTGCTTGAAACATTGTTATATTACTTGTGACTTTTTGTTTTTTGATAAAAGTATTTATTTGTGACATTTCTTTGTTATTCAGGATGGTATGCAAAAGGAGATCTTTCAGAAGCTACTAAAAAACCTTGAGAAGCATTGTGAAACAGTTCTAATAGGAAGTGAAGTTGATTATCGCCGCCTTATTGCTCAGAGATCTATAGACCAGGCAAGATTTAATGAAATTTACCTGTTTCTATTCCCTAATTATCAAACTCGATATGATATATTTGCGATTTGTCTCCTGTCTAATCTGATAAATAAATCCAATTGTAAAAAGTAAAAGCAAGCCTCTCTCTTGTCACCCTTAAGAAGCCACATGTCTCCAAGGTTGGGGAGTAGGACTTATGAGAAGAAACATGAAGAATTTAGTGTAAACCAATGCCAAATCTACCAAAAAAAGGCTGAACGATTAAGATTGATCTAATATAACTTTGTACATCATGGATTACTAAGGGAGACTAATTTGCAGGTCCACTACATTTGGCCTCTTAATAGCAACACTAAACGAGAATTTGAGGATATTTGGAATAAGATCAGTAAAGAGGCCAGAGGAAGCATCACTTCACAGACTATTCCTGTGATGTTTGGAAGGTATTTTTAATTAACCCTTGATCTTTTCCAAGTCAGAAAGAGCCCTTGAATCTGTCATATCATAATCCTTTGCTTTCTATCAGAATATTGGAAGTTCCTGAGAGCTGCAATGGGGTGGCACGGTTCACCTTTGAATATCTCTGTGGTCGGCCGGTACTATGCTCTTGTCAGTCAGAATTTTCCTTTCTTTTCTCTGTATAACTTGCTTATACTGGAGAAAAAACGAACTGTGAATTAGAGAGATTTATTCTTATCTATTTATTTGTGCTTTTTCCATTTCTCTTCATGGTTAATACACTCTTATTTATATCAGTCAGATATAAGCACTTGTCAAGCTTCTTGACTTCCATTTGAATATTGAAATAAGATCTGGGTTAGCCATTTGATATTACAGTCTGTCATGTAAGTAGGAGTGGACGCCTTATTCCATCTTAAAAAAATATTTATGAATCAAAATTTACTTGTATTCTACTTATATAATGTGATGAGCTTTTAATTATACTGTAACTTAAGCTAGCTTGTGGTGACATGAATTGTGATTAAATTTTTTAATCCATGTGATTAAGATATTCGTGAAATTCATTGAAAATTGTTTCACGCGTAACGATAACATTCCCTGCTAAAGCTCCATATATTATTATACAGATCTATTCCGTTTTTGACTGCATTTGAAAAAATTAATCTTAATTTAAGTTAGTAATTTGACAGATGAACTGAAAACACATAAGAGCCAGCTTAGGCTCTACTCAGCTGGGTTTGGTGCCTGGACCCGCAGATAAGCAAGCAGCTTACTGAGTAAATGATCTACGGATTTGTCAAAAATAATAACCATGGCCTGGACAAGATTAAAAGAATAGGTGCAAAAGAAGCCAAATTTTAAGCAAATTAGATGTTCTTACAAAAAAATAAAGGATAAGAGGACACTGAACTATCTATACTGCTGTACTCGATTACCGATGTTACTGACTGTAGAACTTGTCATTTCTTTTCTGGAGGCTTTTGGCTCGTCTTTCAGGTTTTTGGTGGATACCCTAATCATTAATTCTGGGCTGGATAGAGGATTCAACTTGTTTTTAACCTCTGATTATGTCTATAGTTGACTGTAGAGTTCTGGAAGTTTGCTTTCATATGCTTTGACGGTTTTCGTGTAATTCCATTTAACCTGGACTTAAACAACTCTAGAACTATAGAGGAGACAAAAAGTCGCGCCAATAAATAGAAGTTCAGTGATGTCCTAGATCTAAGGCCGTTTAAATTTAGATAAAGTATGGTAGTAGTCAGCTTGACCTTGAATTTGTATTTCATGTTGCATTTCTGTTTTGCCAAAATTTTTTCACCTCTTCGTCAATGAACAAGAACAAGACTGTATCTTTAACTTTGACCTCGTAACGGAGTGCTTATTTAACCTAATGTGTGGACATTTTCAGCTTGGAGCAGCAGATTACATTGCAGTGGCTAAAAACTATCACACTGTTTTCATTTCTGATATTCCTAGTATGAGCATGCGTATCCGTGACAAGGTAACATCTTCAATATTCTATCTGTAAACATGCTAACTAATGTAAAACANTCAGGCAAGAAGGTTTATCACCCTCATCGATGAATTGTACAATCATCATTGCTGCCTATATTGCGCTGCTGACTCTTCAGTAGAGGATCTATTTCAAGGAACAGAAGAAGGAACACTTTTTGATTTGGAAAGGTGTGTTATATTGCTTTACAGTTTTACTCTCCTATATCTTCTGGTCTGCTAAGATGGTGGCCTAATTTGTTATCTTGTATACCTTTTGTTATGTATGTTTTTGCATCACTAGATAGAATGGTCATTCTGTTGCGGTGAGAAATTATATATCCTAGATAATGTTAATCAACAACAACAACAACAACAATAGCGTGTATGCAGACCTTACCCCTACCTTGTGAAGATAGAGAGGTTGTTTCCAATAGACCCTCGGCGCAGGAAAGCATAAGCACCACATTAATGAAAAGACAGACGAGAAGAGACAATACCAAGAAGCCATGTAAAAGCAGCATAGAAAACAACAAGATATTAAGATGACCAAAATGAAAAAAGCCGACAGGTAGTCATAAAAACCTAATACCAACAAAATGCGAGAGTGCGTGCTAATATTACCAGTATGAACAATTTAGACCACCTACCCTAATACCCTAATCCTTGGCCTCCATACCTTCCTATCAAGGGTCATGTCCTCGGTCAACTGAAGCTTCGCCATGTCGTGCCTAATCACCTCTCCCCACTTCTTCTTCGGCCTACCTCTACCTCTCCGTAGATCCTCCAATGTCAACCTCTCACGCCTCCTCACTGGGGTGTCTGTGTTTCTCCTCCTCACATGTCTAAACACCTAAGCTTCGCTTCTCGCATCTTGTCCTCAATAGGGGCCACACCCACCTTGTCGCGAATAACCTCATTTCTAATCCTATCTAACTTGGTGTGCCCGCACATTTATCTCAACATTCTCATCTCTGCTACCTTCATTTCTGGACGTGGGCGCTCTTAACTGGCCAACACTCGGCCCCATACAACATAGTCGGTCTGACCACCACTCTGTAGAACTTACCTTTATGTTTTGGTAGCACCTTTTTGTCACACAAAACACCGGATTCGAGTCTCCATTTCATCCATCCCGCCCTCAATACGATGTTTGACATTTTCATCAATCTCCCTATCCTCCTTTATAATAGACCTAAGGTACTTAAAACTTCACTTCCTAGGGATGACTTGCGAGTCTAGCCTCACCTCCCCTTCCCCTCCCTGAGTCTCACCACTGAACTTACACTCCAAGTATTCTGTCTTGGTCCCGCTCAATTTGAAACCTTTAAATTCTAGGGCCTGCCTCCACACCTCTAACCTCGCGTCACACCGCCTCACGTCTCGTCAATCAATACAATATTATCTGCAAATAACATTGCACAATCGCACCTCCCCCTTGGATGTGGCGCGTCAGTATGCCTATCGCCACGACAAACAAAAAAGGGCGGAATGTCCACCCCTGGTGCAACCCCATCATGACCGGAAAATGGTCTGAGTCCTCTCCCACTGTCCTCACTCGGGTCTTTACTCCATCATACATGTCCTTAATCACCCTAATGTAGGCAACAAGTACACCTCTAGCCTCCAAACATCTCCACAAAACCTCCCTCGGGACTTTATCGTACGCCTTTTCTAAGTCCATGAACACCATATGCAAGTCCCTCTTCCTCTCTCTATATTGTCCATCAATCTCCTAACAAGGTGAATGACCTCTGTAGTTGAACGCCCCGGCATAAACCCGAACTGGTTCTCTAAAATAGACACACTTCTCCTCACCCTTAGCGCTGCCACCCTCTCTCAAACTTTCATAGTATGGTTAAGCAGCTTGATACCCTGATAGTTTCTGTAAAAATAGCAAGGGCTAGCTAGTTTTCGGACTGATCATTCAAAAATAGCCAGCGTTTGCAAAGTCATTGAAAAATAGCCACTATTTTGCTGCAACACAAAAAATTCCAGCATAATATACTTGAGATCAGTGTATGAACTTCCAACATATTATGCTGGAACTCCAACACGCGAAATGTTCCAGTATAATATACTGGAGATTGGAGCACCGGTCCTCCAATCTCCCGTATATTATGCTGGACCGGTATATTATACTAGAGTATTTTTCCGGATTTTGAACAATATTTTCGTTCAGATTTATCTTTACATGAAAAATGGTTAAGTTTCGATTACTTTTGAAACTGTTGCTATTTTTGAATGACCACTTGTAAATCTGACTATTTTTTAATTTCTCCCACAGTTTCACCCTTGTTTTTTTATAAAGGAACCATCGTGCTCCACCTCCGTTCTTCGGGCATCTTCTCGTTCTAAAAATGACATTAAATAACCTAGTGAGCCACACCAAGCCCGCTTTGCCCGCACTCTTCCAAAACTCCATTGCGATTTCATCTTGCCCGGTCACTTTGCCCCTGCTCATCTTACGCATGGCCCCCTCAACCTCCTCAACTCTGAGAGAGTTCCAAATCACCCAGTACAATACCCAATGTTACAACGACTCTCAGAAAGTTCCAAATCACCCAGTACAATGTTCCTGTCCCCCTCCTTGTTCAAGAGACTATAGAAGTAGGTCTTCCATTTCCGACGGATAAGCCCCTCATCTAACAAAACTCTAACTTCTTCGTCATTGATGCATTTTCACTTGGTCCAAGTCACGAGCCTCCATTCCCTCGCCTTGGCTAACCTGAATAACCTTTTATACCCACCTCGGCCCTCGAGTTCTTCATTCAAACGACCAAAAGTTGCAGTCTTGGTCGCGGTAAATGCTAATCTCGCCTCCTTCTTAGCCAACTTATACCGCTCCCTATTCCCTCTCTTCTCCTCCTCGTTTACACTTTCCACTAGCTTCAAATACGCCGCTTTCTTGGTTTCCACTTTTCCTTGCACCTCTCTATTCCACTACCAGTTTTCTGTTTGACCATCATAGTAGCCCTTCGAGATCCCTACTACCTCTCTAGCAGCTTCCTTAATGCACAACACAGTTGTGGTCCACATAGCGCTTGCATCCCCACTACTCCTCCAAGCCCCCATAGTCAGCAACTTAACCCGCAACTCCTGCACTTTGGCTTCCGTCAAGGCTCCCCACTTGATCCTAGGTTGGCTATACACCGCCCTCTTCTTCCTCTTCCTTGTGATCTCAAGGTCCATGACCAGGAGCCTATGAAGGGTCGTGAGGTTCTCACTTGGGATGACCTTCCAATCCGTGCAAAGACCTCTATCGAACTTCTTGCAGAGTATATAATCAATTTGGGTCTTGGCCACCGAACTCCGGAAGGTGACCAAGTGTTCCACCTTATTCGGAAAACTCGAGTTTGCTATCACCAAATCAAACGCTCTAGCAAAGTCCAGCAAAGAAGTTCCTCCTCTGTTTTTATCTCCAAAACCGAAGCCACTATGCAACCCCCCAAGGTCGCTCCAATGTGGCCGTTGAAATCTCCTCCTATGAAAAGCTTCTCAGTATGTGATATACCACACACATCTCATTCAAATCCTCCCAGAAACGCCTTTTGACTTCCTCATCTAAGCCTGCTTGGGGTGCGTACGCGCTGATTATAATTTGTATAATGTGCTTTATAGTGTCGAAATTCTTATACATCTGTTATTGCACGTATCTCCATTTGCGCCCATGTCTAATTGCCTTGTTGTTGTTGCTGTCTATTTATTGCTTCATTTTCACTTCTTTTGAGCCGAGGGTCTTCTCGAAAACAACCTCTCTACCGTCATAAGGTAGGGTTAAGGTTTGCGTACACTTTACCCTCCCCAGACCCCACTTGTGGGATTTCACTGGGTTTGTTGTTGTTGATACAACTATATTTAGGATCTCTCCATGCATGAGTTGATTCAAGAAACATTCTAGGCAGCTGCATTACACCATGCAGATTGCGGATGCACCAACACTAAACACTAAAAAGCAGTTACCTAGGGTATTTCGATGTAGTTCCATTACAATTTACAGGAATAAATTTTAAGATTTAGTAAAAGGATTCAGTTCAATTGAGGTCAGCGTGCTATTTGTCCAGTTTCCAGTTTGAGACAGAGATGGAAGGTACGAAGCTCCGGCGAGATGTTTTAGCTGAAGGCAGTGTTAGTTCAGGAGGTGCTCCATCTGGCATTACTTCCATGCTATCTGGTCAAGAGGAGAAGTTTGCATTTCGACGAGCTGTAAGTGATTTTCATTGATATGCCTCTATTTTCTTATCCAGTTGATTCTCGGCCTCAGTTTCTTCAGCTGTCAGCCTCAATTAGGAGAAAGTTTATAGGGACAATTGTGAACATCTGATTGTTGAGGAAATAGAACTTGGAAAAAGTTTCTCACATTGCATGTCATGTCGGACAAAGCTCTTGGGTTTAACCCTTAACCCTTCTGAAACTTCCTGGATTTCTCCTTATAAATTTTGTTGTAGTTGGATTTTCAGCCTTGGATACATCATTCGTTTTACTTGTTCAAAAGGAAAAGAAATGCAGTTGATAACTAGCACTCCATAATGCTGGTTGCTTATCGGCATATGATTAGAGTACTACTTTTTTTTTTTTTTTTAAACTTTTCTTCTTTTCCTACTGATGATGAAAACTTTGCAACTGTGCTCTGAGGTGCTATTATTGCATCACTTCATTGTCTACTGGGGATTCAAGCTATTATCCAATACTATCATAGCCTGGTAATTGCTTGATCGTCTTATCAGAAAAAAGTAATTTGTTAGTAGCACAGGAGGTGAAGAGGGAAATTGGAAAAGAAAAGTGGAGGTCGTGAACTGAGTTCACCAAGTCGGTAGGACTACAGGAGCATTGGCCTATGTCTAGTTTATATTTTTTAAAACAATGAAAATCTGTGTGGAATTCCCTTCTGAAAATGCACCTAACAAAGGATATTGCGATCTCTGACAAATTGTCGCAACCATTTCACGAGTGATGAAAGATATTACACTGTAGATTGTCCAGACTCCCTTTGAGAAACAAACTAGTTCCCAACTCTTTAAATACCCCTCCAAACTCTGTTAACACCTCTCGATCTGAAAAGAGCACGCATCACCAGTTCAACCTTCTCTGTTATTCCTTATGATTTCAAACAGAGTAATAATGATGGCTAGTGCTTGAATGGCGTGATTTGAGAGTCTTGTGAGCCCTTTAGGGGAGTCCATTTGTCAAGCCTCTTGGAATTAATGCTTTTCGAACACCCAAGGAGAATCTAATTAGCAACTCTCTTGGTAGTCCTCTTCACCACATGGTCCCGAAAGTTATAGAACAAGGTTTACCCCCTAAGGATACTCCGTATAAGGAAAAGGAAAATTGTGATACGACCAGCAATAGAACCTCAGGACTTATGACTATTATTGTCACCGTCTGGTTGGTTGGCAGCTTGGCTGCTTTCTGATTGTTTTCGAGCCACAAACAACCTCAAAGACATTTGGAAGGGAAGAGGATTAGCGGAGCTCTTCGCATAAACAAGTAGAGAACAGTAGCATCAACAATAGAAACTTTGACTCAGATGTAAAACCAGCAACCTATTACTCTTCTCTGCCCGCGAAAGTGCTCCACTTGATACATCCACCACCCAAAAAAAACAAGAATGAGACAACTTAGGGGTGTGCATTATCGTGTTAACTGAAAGAAATGACCAAAACTGGAATTTTTAGTTTCCTGTTTACCATCTTTAGATGGTGGAAGTTCTTTAGGCATTTCGAAGTTGTAAATAACTCCATTGGCATCTCTCTTGATCTTTTTCATAGTTTAGCGTTCCTCTTCATCCTTTACATTTCAATAGTTTGAAAAAAAAGCTGATACAACAGTTTACTGTTCCCAGTTTACCATGTGAAATAGATAGGCCTAAATGGAGTCCAAAAAATAAATAAAAGTTTACAGCAGATCCGAAGTGAAAAAATAAATGCAAGATCCAAACTGAGAAAAAGAAACAAACTGAATTAATCACAGTTCAGTTTGGTTTGCGTGGTTACAAAGCATAAAATGGAAAAATTCAAACTGAAATAGCACAAATATAAGTAAAACACCAAATACAGGATTTTAGACAGCTATACTGTTTATTACCAGTTTCCGATTTTATCGTGTACGACATGTCTGTTAATTGGTATTGCTTTTCTTCATACATGATGAGACATTTTGTTGAATGGAAGATTCTTTTTTTGCAGGTCTCCCGCTTGATTGAGATGCAGACGCCTTTATACCTTGAAGCAGTTCAGCATTTCCATCCTTATTTTGATTCTTCGCACAGAGAGTTTGAAACATTTAGTGCCAATTAAGGACGATGGTCTATGTGAAGAGGTGTATGTATAAGATATTTGTTGACGATTCTTTTCCACCCTTCCAATTGTCTTGTTCCTAGTTCTCTTTTTGGGACAAGACAGGCTTTTCTAGGAGAAAAGAAGAGAAAATAAAAAGGAAGCGAGGGGTGGCATAAACATAGGATAGTCCTGTGAGGTTTCTCATGATTAAAGACGATGTATTAGACAAAATGGCTCTAGTTATCTTGTTTCAGATTGCAAAGTTAATTTCTTGGTTAGCTAGATCAATAAGAAAGGAAATGTTTTGTCTTTTGGCATTTAGCCATCGATTCCAGTTCCTCCTCCTCTGCAGTATGAAGAGAAAGGAATTAAAAAACTGGAAAAATGAGAAGCCTTTTGAGCTTAGTGCTTTCAGTTTGCAGCATTTTCAAAGTTTGAAAGGTAATCTAACAAGGTGCTTATTGTGGTCAGTTAAGTTTTGAGACATTACACATTTGTGTCTTCTTATTCTCCTCTATGTGTGTGTATGTGTGTAAAGACTTCTCAATGGAAACGAGTTTTATAGTATCTTAAGTCAGATTAACTTTTCACATATATCTGTGTGATTCTCTCTTTTCAGCTACTACAAGAAGTTGAGATGCTGAATTGGAGAGTGTGTGCTTGTGTTTGTATCATGGCATGTCTTTGAGGGCAAAGCTACCATGTTCATAGACTTGGCTTTCCTTTTCTTCCAATCCTGACAAGTATGAAGCGAAAAAAGAAAACAAATAGGAGTAAGACATTAAGAGGATATAAAGGATGCAATAGAAAAGATGACCTTAAGGATAGAAACTAAAAGGGGTAGAATATTACCATATATATTCATGCATTGATTTATTTTTCCTGGAACATATGTTGATTTTGAAATTAGGAAAATTGAAAATTTGACCTTACTTATTCTCAACAAGAAAGAAATAATTGGAGATTTTGGTGATATAGTGGAAGGGATGGCCTGTCAATAACCCACCGGCCACCACAATGTTATCTTTCATATATGTGGCATATTTAGCCTATGAAATGTAACCTGTCCAACTCGTTATAATTTGAACTTGTCGGATTAGCAACGTATTCAAGGGCGAGGATTAACTTACATTGGATAAGTTACGCATTGGCCATTTCTTGACCTAAATTTAGACCAACATATCTTGACTCAAGCAAGCTTTTAACAAGTTGATTCATGATCAATCCATTAAAGTCGATTTAAATCAAACTCAACTCGTCCATTTGACAGCTTAATTCCTTCCTCTCATATCACATTCAGCTTCGTCGTTCCACAGCCGTCGTTTGAATAAATTTATGACAGTTCTTTCAACAGGGATTCCCTTCTAGCAACCTCGATTCATCCACCTAATGGTTAGAAGTTTCTGCTTCTATCTACAGCCCCCATAGAAACATGTACAGAACCAGTTTTAGAGATGTTGCATGCAACAGCTGATGAACAGGTACCTTTTTGGAAGAGAATTTTAGTATACTTGCACACCAAACAGCACTGGCCAATTGTGAGACACCACCAGATGGTCAATAGCATTGCACAATGGCAATCAGTTGGATATGTAATTACAGAATCATCAACCCACATATCCTTATTGTTCAATGATGAAGTATCAGAGAAATTGATCCTACATCACTTACAGTGAGGATAGGAGTAAAGATTGTTTTACATCCAACACCACCTTAGTTAAGCGAGTAAATAAAAGCAAACACATCGAACAAAATAAATGAATTTAAATTAAACCATCCTCTTCTTTTCAACAGATTAAGAAAGTGTCAACAGATCGAATCAAACACCATAGATCCCAATAACAGTTTCCTTATCTCTTCCGAATCCCTGAAAGTAGTAGCTTGGCTTTAATCATCAGGAAAGAGAGCAGATGTTGTAATAATTAGTTCTGCTCCTCATTGTCCCCATTTTGCTCTGCTTCTGCAGCCATTAACTCATCAAACTTCTCTGTCTTTCCGAGCACTATTTCAATCTGCACCAAACGAAGATGATAAATAAAACAAAAACCTTAGTTTGATCACAAGAGGATACCACAGAACAGACAAGGATGACTGTTACGAAAAGGAAAAAAGTTCAAGATGGATTGCAAGCCCCATATACACTAGAGATAGACTTTCAGCTCACATCACTTCAATCCATTTTAGTATGACATTGTTTTGGAGAGTATAAAGTAGAAGAACATGAAAGCCGTAAAAGCAGCATCACATACAATGTAATACTGCCCAGATTTTATTTATCCATTCCTGAGTTGCCAAAGGAAATTATTTATTTTATTCCACAGCACTTAAAAATAGGACACAATTTCAAGGAGCAAACAACAAAAACAAAAAACAAAATGCAATTTAAAGGGAATGCACATCAACAGGCATGGGGTGTAAGACAAACTTTCAATCAGGTCTAAGCTGACCAATTTGGAACAACACCTGTAGAGTTTTTTGGGGGAGAATCACTCGGCGTGGGGCCTCCCTTGTGAGGTCAAGTTATGATTAACAACTCAAATGTGACTCGACAAACATTTTGGTGAGCAAGGATGTAAACCATCACTAATCCTACCATCCTATTCTACAGCTTTTGCAAAATTCTGCACAATCCTGACTCAAAAGAGAGCAGAATGAGCACACACACGTCTCTTGAATGCTTATTTTAAGCAAGGTCTATGCTATAACTCTTCAGCAAACAATCTTGAGGCCCAAGCTAGCACTTACCTAGAACCTCCAAAGGAGTTCCATTACTTCAAAACCACTAAAAATGAAGCAGACCAATGCATCAACTTTTTTTATGAGTACTCATTATGCTTTTGGATTTTACCTTGGCTTTTGGTATCGGTCGGGCTCCTGGTTCATCCCTCATGTCAATAGTGAGTGTCCTGATCTCTGCAGCAAGTGTACCCTCAAAGTTAGATGGCAAGAAAGACAATAAAAGGGATGAGAATGAAGTAGGAGAAGCCTCACTCTTCTCAACAGCAAATCCATTGTTCTTGAGAATTTCAGCAACGGTAACCACTGTTGAAATAGCTGCATGCATGTGGGAAAGAATGTTAATCCTTTGGAGAACTATACGCGGCAAGCCAATTCAACTATCAATGAGTTCTCAATATAATGCAAAAGGATGAGTCCACATAAAATATGAAAAGAACATCAAATTGAACTCTGCCACCACTCTGTATTTCTGTTGTATTAATAAGGTTTCCCAGCAAGCACAAGAGCCGCTTCAAACATATTCTCAAACATGTTCTGCTTTTCAGTGAAAAGATCCTTGGGAAGCCACAGGAAAAAGGTTTATGATCAATCAGAATTTATCCCAGAAACACTCAACCACTTTCTTAATTTAAAAACAGGATGCTTTTTATGCCAGATGTTGGTTCAAAATTGTCTCACCAGCATATCACATCCCTGCTAAAGTGTGCAACACTGTGTATTATAATCTTGTTGTACACATAGAGGGTGACAATACGAAACCGAGTCCTTGAAATGACAAAACAGCATCACACAACGCCAAGATTGGAATTCACCAATCATAAAAGAAAATTAAATTGGGAAAACTAGCTGCAGAAAGTGAGAAAGCCTCCCTAACCCAAGTATGAACTCATTTGTTTATGTTTGATTTTGGTGTATTATTGATGCGAAAAAAACAGCATAATACAATTCATGAAGAAGAAGACCCATATGACATCAATTATATGCACGAGGAAAACCACAACAAGTACTCAAAATTGAGGGCCTAGAAGATTTACCCATCCCAAGAGCAGAGAGTTCCACTTCATTGTACTGCTGCATGTACCTCTGCAAGCAAAATATCAAATATCTCAGGATACTAGCTCCGATCAATAGCAACAATGGTGGTTCTGGTGTAAGAGTAGGAAACTAGATATAGATATTCATAGATAACCTTTTTCAAGATTGTCTAATGCTCATCATGAGTCCACTTGCATAAAAAAGCCTCAAACTATATTATAAGTCATGTGCGAACCCTCTAGTTGACACTGTATGCGCAATATTTTCAAATATACCTGTGAGGTACCTTTAGATAAGTAATATACCTATGAAGTACCTCAAGCGTAAGTCAGAGGTATCTATGCAGACCTTATGCGTATTCAATTCTCTTCCATTGCCATCGCTCTTGATTTTGTGAAGTCGTGGACCACTACAGCAGACAACTAGTACTTGAAGAACTACTTTCTTTACTTATTTTTTATTGTACTACTTTCTTTACTTATGCTTCTCAAACAAAAACGTTTCTTCATTTTTTCCCTCTGTAATACAGATGTAGCAATTTTTCTTCAACCATCCGAATCATCGATGAAATTAGTTTTATTTCAATTAAACCCAGGAAAATAGACCTCAGGCAACATAAATAATCAGACAAATTAAATTAACAAAGACCCCGTGTATTGTGCATTAATTTAAACTGATAATATTCTGCAGGTCTTCCAGTCCCACTATGAGCAATGTCATTTCTTACAGGATATAATTAATCATTTCCATCCTCTCACAGATAAGCAATCTTTTAGATTTATAGAGGGAAAAAGAAAGAAAGAGAGAGAAGCAAACAATATGCCCATTTGCGAATGACCCTAACAAGTGCATTATATCATAGATCAACCAGCATAATAAGCTCTTTAACCCCAAACCATGTAACCATTAAATCGAAGGAATTACTTCTGAAGCTAAGATTTTTGTCAGTCCAGCTGTCTTCAAAGCAACATCTTTTCAGTAACAAAAGAAAGCTCCATAACCAATTTTCAGCCAAACAAGTATCATAATTTTAAAAACTAACCGAGTACATCGTAATAACAAATATGTGCAGACAATTTCCACCAGCTCACACCCACAAACACACACCCAGAGGAGGGTAAAGAGTAATTACACTATTAAATTACTTTAGTGTCAATTACAATGCGTGGCTTTTGTAACATGGAAAAACGAGTAAAAAAATTTTTTTACACTATCACCAACCCAAGGAACTATCTATATCAAGAGACTAATTGCTAAAATACAGTATTACAACACGTCAAAATACAGTAATAGTGTTAAAAACATTATATTTTTCAAAGTATATAATAGTAATAAATATACGGGGAGAAAAAAGAGAACCTTAGAGAGGTTAACATAGAAAAAGAGGGATTTTTTGGTGTTAGAGACTTGGATCCTGTTCTTCTTTTGGGTTTCAGTTACACTTATGTTCTTCACTCCCTCTGTGATTCCTTCCATTGTTTTGCTGATTTCTTCTTCTTCTTCCAAAAAGCCCTAATTTTTCCCAGCCTCCTTTTCGATGTTCACTTTCCCTTTTGGAGAGGTTCCGTACAAATTGGGAAAATTATAACAACAGATAAACCCTCGGGTCATTCCCGGGTTCAAGCCAGGTGGTTTAAAAGGGGTCGGCACCTTATAAGATGACGTTTATGTCTCTTTTGTCTTTTCCTTCAAATGTATTATGTACCCCATTTTCATTCGAGAATTATACTTTTTACCTCATCGCATTGGAGAATTAGTTATGGTTTCGAGTTTATGACTCATGTGTACACTTTTCTTTCCTTTGTAAGTGCACTTATTATCTCTTTGCAATATTCAATAGGCTTGCTCAATTGGTAAAGCATTCGTTAGTCACATTGGAGAAAAACTATACAAACACTATAAATCCTCCTAAATTAGAGAGAATTTAAATAAATAAAAAATAAGTAAAGGGCCAGACTTTTTACACCTCTTAAAAGCATAAGTTATTATTGACTTATGCGTACTACTACGAAGCATATCTTGATCCAATAAATCCATATCTATATTCTATTCTATATATTATTAAAAGGAGAGGACAAAGCTCTCTCCTTTATCTAAGTGTCAGCCTAAGAAAAAGCCACATGACATAATTAGTTACTAATTAGTTATTTAGTTAATAATTAGTTATTGATTATTATTTTTGAATTTCAATATCTAAATTATTAAAAGGAGAGGACAAAGCTCTCTCCTTTAGCCAAGTGTCAGCCTAAGAAAAAGCCACATGACATAATTAGTTACTAATTAGTTATTTAGTTAATAATTAGTTATTGATTATTATTTTTGAATTTAAATATCTATAAATAACGGAAAAAAACTACCATATATATATATACATATGTATGTTACTTTATTTGAATTAATAAATATCGATATCTTATAATTATCTATAATTAAAAAAATAAAAATAAAAATATATAAGAAAATATCTACCTATTCAAATTGGGTGAGAGTAGTTTCAAGTTGGAGTCTTAAAATTATTTTAAAATAAAAAAATAAAAATAAAAATAAAGAAATAAAAAACTTTTGATTCAAATTGTGGAGTAGTTTCTTTCTAATATTGTAGTCTCTCTCTCTCTCTCTCTCTCTCTATATATATATATATATATATATAAAGAGAAGTAAATAATTATATAATGCCACGTAGTATAATTATAAGACAACAAGTGTAGATTTTTAGGACAAAGCTCCAATAAAGTTGGAACTTTAAAATTATTTTATAATAAAAATTGAAACGAAAAAATTCTAATTCAAATCTATATTTATATCTATATCTATATATTATTAAAAGCCAAAGAAAAATTGCACCACATTAATCCAAGTGGTAGCCTAGAAAAGAAGTCACATGGCATAATTAGTCAATACCTTCTGATATTGTGGGCTTGTGAGGAAAATCTTTGATGCAAGAAACTGGTATAGGGGCAAGGACTGTACATGGGAGCTGAAGAAATGCATTACGCAGGGAGGTTTCAGCATCAAGAAGGCATACCTATCTCTATGCCCACAATATCAGAAGGTATCTTGGAAGCATGTTACTATGGGAACATAACTAATGCCAAGACATCAGTTCATACTATGGCTTGAAGTTCGACAAAGACTGGCTACCATTGATCGGCTGGAAAGATGTGGAGTCCATGTCCTAAAGGAATGTGTTTTATGTAACTCAAGAGAGGATGAAGTTTTCTCACACTTGTTCTTTGGATGCACTTATTCAAGACAGATATGGGCTAAACTATTAGGTGGATATGTGAACCTAGACAAATATCAACATGGGATGAAGAACTTAGCTGGGTGACCAAAAGAACAAAGGGAGGCAGAGCGAGGCAAGAAGTGGTGAGATGGATGTTTGTTGCTACTGTATACCACGTTTGACAGGAACAGAACAGTCGAAGATTTCAACAGGAAGAGAAAGAAAGTGACTACAGGATAAGAGAAATTGTCCTCCAGCTACATATCAGAGGGCAGAGATATCACAAATGGCAGAAATTATTAGAGAGTCTAAACAGTTTTCCTATATAGATTCTGCAGATTAGTAGATGATATGTATAGGTGAGATGCTGAGTGGATAGATATTGACTATAGAGAACTAATCCTAGAGTCCAAAGGATTAGCAGTTGTAAATATACACAATTGGTTGAATAAAATTTTTTATTTTGACCAAAACAAAGAAATTATCTATTGAAAATTAACAAAGAAATTAACTACCTAAATTAACTACTCAAACATGGGTGAGGGTTGGTTTAGGTTAATTAATTTCTTTATTTTATTTTTTAAAATCATTTTCGTTTTTCTTTTTTGAAATAAAAAGTTTATTTATTCATTAAAATTCAAACAATAATATTGAAAAAAATGTATTAAAATTTAAAATAAAAATATTTTCAAGAGTAACAAAATATATCTTCTATTATATTAAAAAAAANTATATATATTATTAAAAGCCAAAGAAAAAGGCACCACATTAATTCAAGTGGTAGCCTAGAAAAAAAGCCACATGGCAGAAAGTTAATAAAAAAAATATTTATTGAAAATTAACAAAGGAATTAACTACCTAAATTAACTACTCAAACATTGGTGAGAGTTGGTTTAGGTTAGTTAATTTCTTTATTTCGTTTTTAAAAGTCATTTTCTTTTTTCCTTTTTGAAATAAAAAGTGTATTTATTCATTAAAATTCAAACAATATTATTAAGAAAAATATAATAAAATTTAAAATAAAAAAATATTTTCAAAAGTAATAAAATATATATCTTCTATTATATTACAAAAAAATTAGCAGACATAAATATTAAACAAGTAATATGCTAATAATTTCTATTCACAATATAATTATACCAAACATTAGATAATTTAATGAGCAAAAATGCATAATAAAAAAGTTATTTGATGACTATATAAGTCCCTTAAATTTAATAGAGATTTTATTCATTAAAATTCAAACAATATTTATTCTATTTATATGGAATAGGAGAAGCAAATCATTGTGATAATTCCAAACGTAACATCAAAAAATTAACAAAGTGACAAATTTCAGGACAAAACTCCAACAAATTTGGACATATACAAATTATTTACAAAAAAAAAAGATAAAAAAGACACAATGAAATTACCTACCTAAAATTAACTACTCAAACATGGGTGATATAATAAAGATAAATACATAACAAAAAAATTATTCGATGACTACATAAGTCCCTTTAATTTAATTGGGGATTTGTTCATCAAAATTCAGACAATATTATTGAGAACAATCGAATAAAATTTAAAATAAAAATTATTTCAAGAGTAATAAAATATATATCTTCTATTATATTGCAAAAATAAAATAATAGTGAAAAATATTAAATAAAGTAATATGCTAATAAAAATTCCTATTAACAATGAATAATATTAAATATTGGATGATATAATACAGAAAAATACATAACAAAAAAAGTTATTCGATGCCTGTACAAGCCCCTTTAGTTTAATAGAGATTTTATACAATTAAAATTTAGATAATATTATTAATAAAAACAAAATAAAATTTAAAATAAAAAAAATATTTCAACAGTAATAAATTATATATCTTCTCTTATATTACAAAAAGAAAGCGAGCAGACAAAAATAATAAATAAAGTAATATACTAATAAAAATTTCTATTAACAATGTAATAATACTAAACGTTGGATGATATAATAAAGAAAAATAGAGAACAAAAAAGTTATTCACTAACTATATAAGTACTTTTAATTTAATAAAGATTTTATTATTGGATATATCGTATTGACAAATAAGATGACAATTGAAATTTATTAAAGCAATGCGATCTAATAGGATCAAACAAGCCCGATTATAATTTAGTTTAATTAATATATTTTTAATATTGACCGCACATTGCACGGGTACGACTACTAGTTATGTGAACAGAGAAAGGTTGGTTCACTACTGCTGATGAATTGTAATAATGTCATTTGTATTAAAGTTCTAATATAGTAGTTAAATAAATTTATAATTTTGTTTTGTTAATTTTATAGTTTTATTTTCATGTTTTTCTCTTAAATTTTGTTTCTTGCTTTTTTTTTTTTAATAATACTTTTATGTCCGATTCTACAATTCAGCTTGAACATCTTTCTTGGTAGTTTAATTAATTAATTAACTTTTTAAAGTGTAAACAATACATCTGTTTTTGGGTTTAATTTGCTTTATTTAATCCTTTTTCTTTTCAAAGCCAACAACAACAACAACCCAGTAAGACTTCAACTTAAATAAAATAAACTCTCTCTACAGGCGCATGTTAAGCAGGGATAGCTAAACATACGCCTTCAACGATGGCTAGACGGAAATTGCATGAAACGGCACCGACGATGAGACCGGAGATGGTAGAAGAGGAGAGAATGGTAACACCGGAGTTAGGGATTCCACAAACGATGAATCAAATACAGCTAGTTCACTGGATGACTGGAATGGGGAGTGCACCAACTGTCATGCAAAATTCAAAATGTGAGGAAATAGAGAAACCTAAGCTAGAAAACTTATGTTCTCAAATCAGCAGACAAATTCCGGGGAACAGAGATAAACTTAGCGGAGGTGGTTAAAGGAAACATATCTCAACAACAGGGGATGCAATTGGAGTATTATCCCCCAATTATCAAAGAAGGAGTGAAGATGGTTCGTCTGAATCAAACTGAAGTCATTGAGCAAACTCAGAGATGGCAGACATCGCTAATTGGGTATGTATTGGGTGGAAATCCATCATTTAAAGACATGCTTAAGTTTGTGTATGGTGTGTGGAGTTTTGTTACAACTCCACATGTATTTCTTCATGATGATGGATACTTTGTTTTCAAATTTGAATCTGAATATGATAAGAAGCTAACCATATACCTTTAATAATCGACCAATGATATTGAAGCAATGGGAACCTAAATTTCAAATGAGTAAGGAGAAAACAAGAAATATTCCAATTTGGGTGATATTCCCAAGTCTTCCAGTGGAGTATTGGACAAAGGAGAATTTAGCGCGAATAGCAAGCTGTATTGGGAAACCTATATGCTCTGATAGGTTAACTGCAGAAGGTGAAAGAATTTTTTATGCTAGGATGTTGATTGAAATGGATATATCGCAAGAGTTGCCAAATGTAATGTTAATTGAAGAGGCAGAGGGTACATACATGGAACAAGAATTAGAGTATGAATGGAGACTAGCTTTTTGTGAAGTTTGCTTCCAAATAGGCAAACATGAAGTCAATTGTGAGAAAGCCCCAATAGAGAAGCAAAAATACAGAGGGGAGGAACAGGATAGACAAGCCGGAATAAAGCAACAAAAGAAGATGCAATGGAAAGTAAAAGTTACTATGGAACAAGGAGGAACAACAAAGGTGCAGGAAACAACAATATCACAGGATAAGGAGATGAAAGATCAGGGGAAGGAACAAAAAGAAGATCAGAACATTGAAACACAAGAGGAAAATTTTCAGCCACAGTAAAGATCTAAAGGAAAGCAAAAGATGAAGGTCCACAACAAAAAAGTTCTGAGTGGAAATGAGATAGAAAAACTGTTAATGACCAACAAATACAGTACATTGAGAATACAGAAGATAGCAGCATTGTAAGAATGACTGACGGGATTGACCTCAATGAGGAAAATCCCCCATGATAATAAGCTCCTGGAATATAGGAGGGCTGAATAAGCCCTATAAGCAGAGAGAACTCAAGGCCTATCTGCTGAAAAATAAAATTACTCTACTAGGCTGCCTTAAGACAAAGATAAAGCCTAGGAGTGTTAGTAAAGTTAAAAGAATATTTGGAAATGACTGGCAGATATTTCAGATGAGAAGATAAGTCCAATTGGTAGACTATGGGTATTCTGAAAAGACAGTATGGTGCAAGTCAACATCCTGATGGTCACTACTCAAGTGATTCATTGTCAAGTGAAGGATAAAGGGTCCTAATTTAAATGATGTATTACTTTTGTATATGGCAAGAACCAGATACATGAAAGGAAGGAGCTATGGGAACAACTAAGGATGATTTATAGCACAATGCAGAAGTCTTGGTTGGTGATAGGAGACTTTAACAGTGTTATATTTGTCAATGATAGAATAAATGGTCAACCTATTCATCAAACTGTGATATTAGACTTTCATAATTATATAAAGGATATTGGAGTGGGGCAATTGAATAGAAAAGGGTATAAGTGGTCATGGTGTAACAAAAGAGATGCTGGAGAAAGAATATATAGTAACATTGATTGGGTGTTTGGGAATGCCTCACGGTTTACTAAATACAGTAGCTTAGAAGCAGTGTATGAGTTACCAGGTATTTCTAATCACTCTCCTATTGTGATAAATACTGAGGTGGTAAGAAGTCACTTGAAAAAACCTTTTAGGATGTATAATGTATTGATACACCAAAAGGAATTTCAAGAGAGTGTGCAAGAGATATGGAACTAAAGAATTGAAGGGCATACTATGTACTCCATATGGACTAAATTGCAAAGAATACAAGATAGAACAAGGCCGATGAACAAAGAAATGAGCTCATTATAAAAGAAGATTGGGAAAATCAGAATGGAGTTACAGAATATCCAACGAAAGATTGATAATGATCCCCTGAATCAACAACTAATTGAACAAGAAAAGAAAATGATAGTGCAGGTAGAGAAATGAGAAGGAATAAATGAACAAGTTTTAAGAAAAAAATCTAGAGCAGCGTGGATAAAAGCAGGTGACAGAAATTCAAAATTCTTTCATGCTCAATTAAAGAATAGACAGGCTAGAAACAGAATTGCTTCCATTTGTAATGAACAAGAGGAAGAGTAGCAGAGCCAAAACAGATTGCAGATGAATTCAAAAGCTTCTTTCAGAACTTATTGGGCAATGTAGCAAATGAATTACCATGCATTGATCTAGAAATAGCTAGGAATGGACATTGTCTCACAAAGGAGCAACAACAGATAATGAGTTGCAAAGTAACTAGAGAAGATGTAGATAAAGCAGTGAAGGAGTTACCAAATGACAAAGCACCAGGGATAGATGGTTTTCCTGCAAAACTTTTTAAGGAATATTGGTCTACAATTGGTGATGAGGTCAGAACAACTGTATTAGAATTCTTTAGCAATGGGAAACTGTTGAAGAATGTTAACTGTACAACTTTAACACTGATTCCAAAGGTGGCCAGCCCAAATTCAGTCAAAGAGTTTAGACCTATTGCATGCTGCACAAATATATACAAGATCATATCAAGAATTCTCACAGCAAAACTGAAATTGGTAGTGGACTCAATTGTAGGAGAATCCCAGTCAGCTTTTATCGAAGGAAGGAACATACTGGACAATATGATCATAGCACATGAGTTGGTAAAAAGATACAATAAAAAGGGAGAGTCACCAAGATGTTGTATCAAAATAGATATAAGGAAAGCCTATGACTCAGTCGAATGGACTTTTCTTAGAATGATATTAATAGAGTATGGTATGCCTGTGAAGTTTGTGGAGCTGATTATGGTCTGTGTATCTACTGTTAACTATTCTCTGATCCTTAATGGAGGGTTAACAAACAGATTTCAAGGGAAGAAAGGGCTAAGGCAAGGAGACCCAATGTCTCCGTACCTTTTTGTGCTTGTGATTGAATATCTGAATAGAGCTCTAAAGAAGTTAAAAGATAACCCAGACTTCAATCATCATCCAAGATGTTCCAGAAATAATATTACTCACATTTGCTTTGCAGATGATTTAAATCTTCGTTGCATAGCAGATGAGGTGTCTATCAAATTGTTGCTCAAAAGTTTCAATCACTTCTCAGAGGTATCAGGGTTGAAGGCCAATCTGGAGAAAAGTGCTCTATACATTGCAGGAGTTACAAAGGAATTCAAGGAGATGATACTGGAAGAAATGCAGTTCACATTAGGGGAATTACCATTTCTATATCTTGGTGTTCCACTTTCTTCAAAGAAGTTGTCAGTGCAGCAGTGTATGTCCTTGATTGAAAAGATTACAGCTAGGATAACTGCTGGACAACTAAGTTGTTATCATATAGTGGAAGACTCCAATTACTGAAAAGTGTGATATTCGAGATGCAAACTTACTGGGCACAAGTGTTTTTATTGCCAAAGAAGATACTCAAGATGATAGTTGTTGTGTTTAGAACTTTTTCGTGGACATGAAAAAGTGATCTATCAAGGAGAGCATTGGTAGCATGGGACACAATATGTATGCCATTATCAGCAGGGGGTTAAATATTCTGGATATTTATTCATGGAACAAAACTGCATTGTACAAACTGTTATGAGCCATTAGTGCAAAGAAAGATACACTATGAATTCAATGGGTCCATAGTTATTATGTCAAAGAGAAAGATGTTACGATAATGGACACTCCTAAACAAGCATGTTGCATTGTAAAGAAAATCTTTGATACTAGGCAATGGTTTCTGGAAAAGCATTCAAGAAATGAGTTGGAGCAATACTATAGAAATGAAAAGTTTAACAACAAAAAGCTATACATTGTAATGAGACATCAGTTCTAGAAGATTTGGTGGAAGAAGATTACAACAGGATCAAAAGCAATACCAAAGCATAGATTTATTCTTTGGTTAGCACTTCACTGGAGATTAGCCACAGTGGGCAGGCTAAGAAGATGGGGCAGTATAGTTGATAATGAATGTGTATTATGTGATACAAATGAGGAAGAGTCAATGGAGCAGTTATGGTTTGGATGCAGTTATGCCAAAACAATATGGTCTAAATTATTACATTGGCTAAATGAAACCCATCAGATTGGTAATTGGGATGAGGAGATTAGATGGCTGAAAAACAGAAATACAAGCAAAGCTCGTGGAGAAGTGCTCATGTTCCTGTTCACAGCCATGGTGTATCATGTTTGGACAGAAAGGAACAACAGAAGATTCCGAGGAGAAGCAATAGAAGGCAGGCAAAGAATCAAAGACATAGTGTTGGAACTGCACTTGGCTGGACATAACGAAGGAAAATGGCAGAAAGAATTAGCAAGACTGAAGAATTATCCTAGTATAGTATAGAAAGATTAAAATAATTGAAGGATAGCTGTGCATACAGAAAGTGAGAGCTGAGAGTTTTCAGATAGTGTAATAGATAGAATCTAGTTCTAGAGTCAAAAAAGAACTAACGGATATAAATATTCTTACTTGGTTAAATAAAGTTTAAGCATTTAACCAAAAAAACAACAACAACCCAGTAAAATGTCTTTTCAAAGCCATTTATCTATTACTTTTCTTTTAGAAGTTTCTAAGTGTAAATGATCTGTTGGTTTCTATTATTTTGAAAATCTAAATACTTGGGGTGATAATTAAGGTCGTAAAACATCTTTTCTGATAGCCATTGAAATCCAAAGGAGTAAACTCACGTTCTCAAATTAGTCAGGGTCTGATTTTCAACCTTTCGATTTTCGTAACTTTTTTATAGATTATGGGTGAAATTAAAATTTGTCATTGTATACTCCTCCATCAAATTTTATGTTTCTCAATTTTACTGGGTAAAACATTAAAACTAAAGAGTTACCAAAATATAGATAGTGACATTTTATTAAAGCAGACCAAAAAACAAATAAATTAATGAAAAAGGAATATATAATAATAGGATACACGTGCAACGCACATGTCCAAATACTAATTCGATAAAAAGAATTAAAATACGATAGAAGTAGCACTAATATTTCAATTCCATCCATTTTAACTTTGTCACAACCTACTTCTTTTTCATGTGTTTCAAGCAGAACTGCAGACTCGCAAATAACTTTTACTTTAACTTGTGTGAATTCCTTATACGTAGAGAAAAAACAACATTTTTTCCTCTAATTGTTTAGCAAGTGGGTCAATTTTGTTAACTCAGGGTAACTTTTCTCACACTTTTATTGTAAGACTTCATTTTATTTGGTAACTAACTTTTTATTAATCATCAGTAAATTTTACAAAGTATCATAGCTAGCTAACACGACTAAAACTATCATATTTACATGATGCTCTTACTCTTCCTATTTTTTAAAATCTATATCTTTAAACTATATCAACTAATCTAGGAGGAGCTCGTACACAACAAACACAAGCTATCTCTTTGACTATAAGACTTCATTTGATGTATAAACCTATTGTTCCTAAAGAATGCCTCGACTCAATCAGAGCAAAACCCTTGGAAAATCTTTAGAAAGATTATCTTAAAATGGAGGAAGTGGAATACAGGTCATAATACGAAGAAACTATGAGCCTGTTTTGCCAAGCTTCTAGAGACCAAAAGTACTTTTTTTCTCCAAAAAAGTACTCTTTAAAAAAATTAAGCTTTTTGGCTAATACACAGAAATACTTTTGGCCAACAACAGAAACAGTTTTTTTGCTTTTGGGAAGAAACAGAAAATTCTAGCTTCTTCCAAGAAGTAGAAGCAGAAATAGAAAATTAATTTATTCAAGACAAAACTATCCTCACCGTAAATTTATATTTTTCAAATTATCCCTTAAAAATTTAAGGTTTTTCTTTTTACCATTCTTTTAAAATTAAAGACATTGCATACATGAATCATATTGTAACTTTCCAAATTCTTTATTGACTTTTCTTGTTTTTGATTTTTTCTTGGTGTAATGTCTTGTAACTTTACAAATTATCTTCTTCTTTTTTCACACTAAAACAAATTATCTATATCCTTCTTTGGATATCAATTCTCTTCCTACAAATAATCATTTATAATTTCTTCTACTATATACTATTAGTTCCCGAATCTTCAAAACAGTCATCAAATCTAATTTGTGAAAATTACGTATAAATAGATAATAAATTTATAATTGCATCACATAATCTATCTTTATATTATTAAAAGAAGAAGAAAAAATATCCACATTAAGCCAAGTGGTGGCCTCATAATAGGTCACTTGGCAATTTAGGAAAAAGTTAGTAAGATTATGTAATAATTTGTTCCTCTTTGAATTTAAATTTTAAAAAAAAATTAAGTTATACATTGTGTATTGTTAATAATTAGTTACACTTTTTGAATTTGAATTTAAACATACTTAACTATTTTTTTACGAATCTTTATATATATTTAAAATTATTATTATTTTACTCTCAATGCCATTTTTCAAGTTTGACACTCAGAATCATCTAGTTCAAACAACCATCACTATACATAATTTCATCCGACGACATTCTTCTACCGAAAAGAAATTCAACTATTATGCTAATGAAGATATTATTGCAGAGATTGGGGAAGGAGATGTGCCTTCTGATATTCCTTTAGAAATGCAAGGCAAGCTTTCTACTAATATGGAAGCGTCGTGCGATAGAAGCAGAGATGAAATTGTTGAGAAATATTATCATATATAAGTAACTTTACTTATTATTTCATGGTGGATTATCAATATATAGTAATTTGTGGAATAGACTTCTAATTTATACTGAATGATGTATTTTAATTATTCGAATCATCTTGTAACAATAAGTAATTATACTAGATAATATTATATGCTTTGGTATAACTATATATGTAAAATTGATTTAAATCTTTAATATGTTTGTACTTTATGTTTTATATTTTAATTAGATAAAATAAGAAATAATAAAAGTGTCTTATGATAAATATTTAAGTTTATTTTTTTTAAAAGAATTATAAGACCTTAGTACTATTCTTTTTGGTAATTTGACACTTAAAAGCACTTTTTAGAAAGATTAGCCAAACACAATTTGTTTACCAAATGTTGCAAAAAGTATTTCTTAAATGAATTTGCCAAACACAAACAATTTTTTTTTTCAAAATAAGCAGATTATAGCAGCTTGGCACGGGCTCTAATATTTGGGCTATGGTTGATGAAGAGAATTGTTTGTGGTGCTTCCCACACCGGCAGTAAAAGAGTAAGGTCAAACATTTTGGAGGAAATAAAAAGGGATTATAGAAGACTAATTAAACCACGCAGCCACGCAGTGAGCACAGAGCGAACTATTCTTTCGCCTTTTACTAAAGAATACCGTGTGAGCATTGCAATTAGTGGCATACTCCAATTTTTGGAGGGGTGCGCTCTTCTTGAGTGCCCCCAACAAATCTAGTTCAAAATTCTTTTTAATTGAAAAAACATGTAATTAATTTTGGTTTTTAAATAATTGATGTAATTTGGTCATATCTTGCCCGTAATACTAATCGCTCGTGGCCAAATATGCAATGTTGACGTTCACATTAATATGCAGTATACCTGCCTCTACAGTAATCCTCACGTCTGAATTCGATTTGTTTAATATATTAAGCAATTATAATAAGTTATTGTCTTAATAATAAGTCATGGTCATCAGTACAGTATTAAGCACGTTTTTTCCCTTTAATATTTAGAGCATATCCTAAGCGTGTCGAAAAATTGAGAAGAATAAAGAAGCAAGATCAGGGATATACCAAATAATGACCTACTTGCGTAATTGTTCATTAATTAGCAATGATAATATTTTATAAAGGCGTGTTTCGCATGGGATACCATTAAACAATTTGCAAATGTATTAGACTCTATTTTTTGCTAGAAATGATACTTTAATTTGAAGTTTAAATGTTACATCATGCATATCAACATCAAAATCAATTTGATCCAATCTCTTCAGACATATTTTACCAAAGTCAATTGTTGAGTTGGTCATTTTAGTAATTTGATTAATGGTTTCTGTTAAAGAACAATTTCAATGAGATTTTATCAGAAATTTATTTTCACTTACCAACCAAACAAGAAAAAATAAGTGATATAACCACTCATTTTCCAGGAAAATATTTTCAAGGAAAAAGTTTCCCATAAAAAACATTTTTCTTTGTACCAAACACACCCTTAATCTGCTCATTTGTCATGTTAATGTGGTATTTTCAAGGAAAAAGTACTCATCCAAAGTCAAACATTATATAACCATGTGATGAAAACTTGTTTAACTTGGGCTAATTTTTTTTACACCATCTGATTTGACTGTGATGATAAGTATCAACAAATTTTACGTGTAAACACAATATTTACAACTCAAGGCCGCCATCTAAACCTTGACGTGAACAACTTTTACTGTCTTACACAAACTTCCAATTATTATAATAACTTATGTTTTGTCTGTTTTTTAATTTTAAAAAAAAAAGCAATTTTAATTTAATGAAAAATTACCATAATCTCTCCCTTACATACCTAATCATCTCATATAAATAACTAATATTCCAAGAACATAGTATAACATCAACTTCCTGAATCTTCTTCTCTGTTCACAAATAGAAAAGTCGTGTTTGTTTGAGCGTAACTTTCAGCTGGATTCCGTATTCAAAATCAGAAGAGGATATATTCGAGCCAAACAGGGCTCTATGAAATGTATGTAGTATTCAAGCTGTTGATCATTGGTTGTGATATTGTTGAAGAAGAAGTCCTGTGGGAAACAGAAACATAAATTCTATAACAACACGCTTTTTGTTATATATTCGGAGAATCATTTGATTTTCCGGGGGAAAAATTTCAGGTACGAGATTTTGAGTATTTGTGGATTCAACATTTTCATCAGCAAAATCCAAGCCGTAACTGTAAAATTCCTGCCAGATTTGTACTGTATCTGTCTTTCATAATTATAGGCGGACTTAGAATTTAAAGCCAATGGGCTTACAATATGAGTAATTTGTATATATATCTTCAATCCTAACAAGAGGAGGTTGGTATACGTTAACTTATTGCGCCGGATCGGCCTAAGGATTCATACGAAGAATTATTATAGTAAATGCTGATTTTGTGATTTGAATTTCAAAATTTCGAAACGGTCTTTACGAATATGTGTTAAAAAGAAGGCTAGTTATTTGAGCAACGGCAGCAATGGGCGCGGAAGCTACTGAAGTTGAAGCGGAGATGGTGAAATGCGAGTGTTGCAGATTGACGGAGGAGTGCACGGTGGCGTATATAGCTAGAGTTCGGGAGAGGAACGGAGGGCGGTGGATTTGCGGGCTGTGCGTGGAGGTAGTGAAAGATGAGATCATGAGATCGGAGGCTCTGATTCGGCACATGAATTTCTGCAAGAAGTTGAGAGCTTTAAGGCCAACGGAGGAACTGATATCGGCGGTGAAGCAACTGATGTTAAGGAGTTTGGATTCGCCGAGATCAAGTCCGGTGAGTAGACAGAGACGATGTCGGAGTTGTTTTTCAGCAGTTGATAGTTGAACGGATAGTTCAGTTATCAAAATGTCATAATTCAAATCGCGTGCTAGGACTAGGAGTTGGTAGAATCATTGCCATTGTTGTGCACTAGAATATGTGAAGAAAAGTACACAGTTGATTTTTTTTGAAAGGAGGTCATTCAGGTAAATTAGTATTAATCTACTAGGGGATTACTGAAGTTAATAGCGTTAGACTTGAATTAATTTTGAGGTTGTATAATCAGTTTTGAACCATTGTTCAATTCTGAAAATAGCTTTGCTGTTAGACAGTTCCTTACTGAAATTTCAACTAATTTTCTCTTGTTTGTTTACTACTGGAGCAATTGAATACTAGCTTTAGTTTTATGGTAGCGACATCGGATTCCATACTTTTGGTATGCGTTGGTTTTCTTGGAAATTATTCTCTTCAAATTTTCACGAGAAAAACAAAAATGGAATTGTTACTGATCACACATGTAGTTTCTTATCATTTTACTCTTTGTATACGGTAGAAAGCGGGACTACCCGATTTCATCCTTTGCTCGAGATGGGAATGTTGCGTCAAGGAGCTAGGATGTCGAGTCCGGAATCGAAGCCTCTTTCCGGACCAAGGTCGACGTCAATCGCGGCCAGAAAGAGACAGACTCCGAGTGACATCGGTATAACTTGATAACGGAAAAGGCAAGATATCCGCAATTGGTCGAGGACCATGGCGTGAATCTCGGAACGGATCAATCCATGGCGGTTAATCAGATGTTAATATGGTTTCCTACTATAATTAGAAGTGTACCTTATTTAGGACTCCTCTATTATATAAAGAGGGGATCCCATTCATTTGTAATCATCATTGTTCACTAAGAAGAATATATATACTCGTTACTTTCCTGCTATATATTACTCTTATTGCTCATCAAAGTTGCTTTATCATTTACTGTTTTTACTATTCCGCCTCGAGACTATCCCGAGTCGAGGTCGAGATCTGACTAGCATACTGGTTTGATTTATTTTATTTTCTAATTTATTCATTTATTCTCTTACTTATCAATTGGTATTGGGCGAAATCACATATTCTTAAAAAAAAAACAGTATAAATTTAATTGTTATTCGAATTTGAGGATAAACGGTGAGATAGCAAATCGAGCTACGTAAACTAAAGAGAATTTAGAGTGACTTGTGAAGTGTATTTTTAAAGTGAAGGTTGAAAACATTAATCTGGATTTCATCGGTAATATTCAGGACTAGCTAATGAGAATAACAGAAGGACCTGTACTAAGTCTGTGATGGTAATCAGGAGCTCATTTTTCTACTGCTTCTGGTTCAAAACACTCTCATTAGGGAGTCCGAAACTGAAATAATGGTTTTTGGACTTAAAATAAGTTTATACAGTTAAAAAAGAAGAAGTTATATTTCTAACTAAAACACAGTATTATAATGCGTTTTAGTTTAACGAAAAGTTAGCCGTTAAAGTAAAACGCAGTATAGTACTGCGTTTTATTTAATAATTTGTTTTTTTAATAGGGAAATACAGTATAGTATTACGTTTAAGGAAAACGTAGTATTATACAGCATTTTCCTATAAAAAAATATAAGCCTNATTTCGATTTAGTTTATGTCGAAACTCGTAGAGCATATGCATATTTGTTTTCTTGAATGTGTTTTCACGTTGATTTGTGTTATGTTTGCGATTAAATTTATATGTTATTTTTTACCCGGATTAATATTAGTGTTTTAAAAAAAAGTTAAAAGTTGAAAAATAATTTTTATTGTTAATAAAATTGTTCATAAATATCTTTTACTGTTTTATATGTAATTTCGTGAATATTATGTTCATATGTTTGTGGTTTTTATTTAGTTTAGATTATTTATTTGCTTAAAGAATAGTGATCTTTTAGCGTAGTAAAATATAGAGCCTTTTAGCGTAGTAAAATATAGAGCCTTATAACGTAGTAAAATATACAGCCTTTTAACGTAGTAAAATATAGAGCCTTTTAGCGTAGTGAAATATAGAGTCTTTTAGCATAGAGTCTCTATAGTTTAAGTATCTACTAACAACAAACTCTATCCAATTACACTTTACAAAATTAATTATTTAATCGATAAAACAAACTTACAGAACTAACAAATTAATATATGTTGTCAAATTAAATATCGGTGAGCATCTAATTTTTGACCATATTTGAATTTTTCTTTCCAACTCACTCACGTCATATAGCACATACGTTACCACCAACACAATTATTCCCAGAAAATACCCCATGATTTCCCTCACCTTCCCACTCATACTCTTTACAATTCACATTCCCACTCATAATCCCTTTCCCTTATTTCCTCACAGCACACACCCACTTTTCTTGGTGCCAGAAAGAAGGTAATTGGAGAAATTCCCTCATCTCTCTTATAAAAAACACACACGACCCCTCACCCTTGGACTCTTCTTCTCCATCAACACACACTATTATACATTCTCTATATAAGTCATACATTTAGATTAAAAAAAAGGAGGGGGTAACAAAATAGGAGGAGATCTTTGAACAAGGAAAATAACGTGAAAAGTGGGAGGAAGAAACAGAAAAGATTCAATTCGATAAAAAATTTGAGAGATTCTCGTGTAAGTAGGAGGTCAAGTTTTCGTTCGTGGCTTTGGGTTCGACGTTGCTGCTACTTTGTCCGACTCGAGTTTCAATATTGGATTAGAGTTGTACTGATTCTCTTTCTTGTATTACTGAAACTCTTTTACTAAGGTTTTGATTCTATTCTTCTTCACTGTTATTTTCTTAGTTTTATTTAGAGCATTAGGATTTGATTCCTTTTATTAGTAATTTATTTCCTTAATCTGTTATTTTCCTATTTGAGCACATGTTTCTGAATTTCGTTATCATTTAGTTTATTTGATGAAAGACTAAAAGAAAGAGATTTCATAAGAGATAGAAGACTAAAACGATTACAGTGATGATATAAATGTTTGCATAGTGTTAAACTTAGTGGTCAGTTAAGCTTACATAAATTATACTATGATATTAAAAATGAGCATATTTTCCGGTCATTCTTATGAATAGGCCATAATCTATAATATTTTTTTTTAATAAGATTGTAGTAAGTTTATTTTATATAATGAATTTTTTTTCTTCTTTGAGTATATATTTACAACTGTTAACCACTTGTCAATAAAAACTAAAAAAAAAATCAGGTATTAATTTTAGTAGGAATACCTTATAAATTAGAAAATCTTCCTAATCCTATCAATTTCTCTATGCCGTTAACTTCATTGTAAGTTACTTTAATATTGTGATTAACTATCTTAAATTAGTCTATGAATGTATACTTCTATTTGTTCACTGTTGAAGAATAACTTCTAATTGTCATAAGTTTTATCTTCATTTTATGAACTTTATTTGAATTGCTTTTCCTTGTTTGTTTTGTTAGCATAAATATTGTTTATTGTAAATTAATTGGACGTTTCACATTATATATATATATATATATATATATATATATATATATATATATTATAACGAGCTTTGAATTAATTAACCCGCATGTATATATATATATATTATTAGAATAAATAAATAATTGTGGGAGAGTGAAATAGTCATGAACCAATTCAAGAATTGTTGCAATAATTAAAAATATACAAATATATGTATTGGATAAGAAGGGACTAATAAATGGAATACTTTAAATACACTTAAAAGTTTGGGATGTACTTTAATTATTAGCTCACGTGTTCACACCCGAACCTTGGATTGATATGCTTAAGTAATAAAAGGGTCATGTGCACATTCCCGCATCTCGATGCATTTAAATTTAAAATGATTATGTTTTAATCATGTGTACATTCCGTACCTTAGTTTAATATCTACCTTTAAAGGAAGTCCTTGTGTGCATACCGCATCTAGGTCAAAATAATTAATAAAATATAATAAAATTAAGTGAAGTGGTAATGAACAAGTCATAATTAATAAAATACAAGAATATCCTAAAATAATATAAGCCAAATATAGTCAATAAAGCGACCGTGCTAGAACCACGGGACTCGGGGAATGCTTTACACTTTCTCCCCGGTCAACAGAAGTCCTTACCCGAACTTTGTTTTCGCAGACCAATAATAATAGAGTCAAACTTTCCTTTGAATAGGGATTCAAATAAAAGGTGACTTGGAACACCGACAAAAATCAATTCCAAGTGGCGACTCTGTAAATAAAATAATCCCTATTTCAAATTTGTCACTTTAATTAGAAAAGCTCTTTAACCCACAGTCCGTAACACACATTATCTTTTGGAGGGGTAAAAAAGGGGTGTGACAATATCGAGCGTGGAACTCATAGTTATATACCCTGTCCAATTAAAAATTAATTATTTAATTTATAAAACTAACAAAATTTTAAAAATATTGAAATTGACACACATAAGAATTCAGGATAATTTGGTGCTACTGAGCCTCAAATAACGAGCCTGGAACCTATAGATATTTTCTCTGTCCAATTAAATTATTTAATTTATTAAACTAACAAAATTCTAAAATTTTTGAAATTGACACACATAAGAATTCAGGATAGCTTGGTGCTACTGGGCCTCAAATATCGAGCTTGCTAATCCATACATATTTACTCCGTCCAATTAAATAATTAATTATTTAATTTATTAAACTAACAAAATTCTAAATTTTTTGAAATTGACACACATAATAATTAAGGATAGCTTGGTACTACTAGGCCTCAAATATCGAGCTTGGAACCCATAGTTATATATTCTGTCCAATTAAAAATTAATTATTTAATTTATTAAACTAACAAAATTTTAAAAATATTGAAATTGACACACATAAGAATTCAGGATAACTTGGTGCTACTGAGCCTCAAATATCGAGCCTGGAACCCATAGATAGGTCAAATTAAATATCTAATTATTTAATTTATTAAACTAACAAAATTCTAAAAATTTTGAAATTGACGCACATAAGAATTCAGGATAGCTTGGTGCTACTGGGCCTCAAATATCAAGCTTGCTAACCCATAGATATTTACTCGGTCCAATTAAATAATTAATTATTTAATTTATTAAACTAACAAAATTCTAAAAATTTTGAAATTGACACACATAATAATTAAGGATAGCTTGGTACTACTGGGCCTCAAATATCGAGCTTGGAACCCATAGTTATATACTCTGTCCAATTAAAAATTAATTATTTAATTTATTAAACTAACAAAATTTTAAAATTATTGAAATTGACACACATAAGAATTCAGGATAGCTTGGTGCTACTGGGCCCAAATTATCGAGCTTGGAACCCTTAGTTATATATATTATGTCCTATTAAATAATAAAATATTAATTATTATAACACAAACACACAATTAATATTGTTTAATTTACAGTAGACGACATGGACTTGCCGTTTGTGTATCTTGGACCAGCATTGGATCAGATATTAGTGTTACAGGGAGACCATAGGTCCGCCTACGTATGGGAGGGACATCTATTGGATCAGACTCTCCGCGCCAGGAGACCGGACGACTTGTGGGACTTTTTGAGGGAGAAAGATTTCCATCCCCGCGTAGTCCATCGCCTGCGTGCTACGGAATTCCCTAGGATTTTTGAGATTGGGCGGATGAGCTCGACTGGTCTCTCATCACGGCGTTGATAGAGCGGTGGCGACCGGAGACACACACTTTTCACCTGCCCACTAGAGAGGCCACCATCACGCTTCAGGATGTTCAGGTTTATATGGGCTGCGTGTAGATGGACTGGCCGTTGCACTGCCCCAGTATATGAGAGCTATGACGCATGCGCAATATTTGGATTTGCTGGGGCAGTATACTGGTTTCAGACTACAGGGTGTGGCTACAGTTAGAGGGGGCAGTCGCATTTCTGTGACAGCTATCAGACAACATATGAAGGTATTGCACCCCGACATTACCGGCGAGACAGAGGATCTCTATATTCACTGGTACACGAGGTTGGCACTGTTCCTTCTTTTTGGGTGTGTCTTGTTCCCGAACATTTCGGGAAATCTAGTGAGTCTGCGCTTTCTGCATCATCTGCAGCAGCTAAATGAGTTACCCCAGTATAGCTGGGGTGCTGTTGTTCTCGCATACATGTACAGGAGTATGTGCCGGGGTAGCATAGTCACCCAGGTGGACATATGTGATTTTCTATCGCTTCTACAGGTGACAACATATTCGAATACTCTGTTCATTACTTCAAATTCTATATAGTCAAAATGACTATTAAAATTTACGTCAATCTTTTATCTTAGGTTTGAGCCTGGGAGCGGATCCTGCCCTCGCAACCACCTCTACCATCATTAGAGTCGGTGTAGTACCTCCATTTCTCCCTCTAGCTAGGAGGTGGATTCTCCAGCGTGGGAACTACCGAGGCAGTGATGCTCATCATTATCTCCCCCTTGTCAGGGATGTGTTGGATATGCTGGAGGCCGGACAGGTAAATATGTACCTAAACTTACTTGTTATAAATTCACTTGTGTTGTGCATACTCACTTTTATGTTATTATTGGATAGTTCATCTAGACGCCATACATCGACGAGTTGCTAGCTGATCTGCCTGATTATTGCTCGGTCGAACGACTGCTTTGGAGCACTTCCATCCCGATGATGTGCCTCGATTCAAAGGCACGTTTGCGCCCGAGATATGCCTTTCTTTTGGTTATAGTACAACCATATTCCTGGTGGACGACTAAACTCCACTCTTTAATCTTGAACCTAATGGACACTTCCAAATATGGAATTACGACAAGAGAAATCAAGTCTACATTCAGGTTGAAGTGATTCTCATTGAATGTGTCCATTTCACATCTGTGGGTGCTAATATATTTACCCACTTTCCACAATCCTGATTTCTTCTTGCTGGCACGCAACATCGAGTGACAACCCATAAAGTCTCTATGGTATACAACCTTGTACACCTCCATAGTTGACTCCCTTACCGTCATCTTGCGGCACTCTCTTACGCTGTAGATTTTTATAGCTCTGATTAGGCGAGCTTTATTGGGGAAATACATGCCCTTTGCCAGCACCGCTGGTCTTGACTCATCCCATATTTTTGACTGAATTTCGTCATCATCCCTTGTGAGGGCATCCACGTCCGACATATTTGGCAAATTATCAAGGTAGGGATATTCCGCTCATGAAACGGCATGTGGGACTCGTACACTCTTGGTCTAACGGGAGGTGGAGGAGCATGCTCCCTCGTCAGCTCAAGTTTGGCATCCACTTCCTCCTCGTCATCACCCTCATCAGGGAAAGGTGTGTCATCTCCAGACTCATCGACATTATTGTCATAATCACTATCATCTTCCTGACTCTGCGCATCTGCCAAATCACGAGTCAATACGTCGTCTATGGGCAACTGTGTGAGGTCAGGAACATCAAGTTGCTCGTTTTCACTGCACAAAAAGAACAAAATGATAAGCTACTCAACTAGATAAATAATTTACATATAGCTATCACTTTACTTACAAGTCGTACTGTGTTGACGATCCATGATGGACATTTTCTTATTGGTGATGACTCCCGAATGGACCACCGTGGTCCAACATGCCAGAACTACGCATATTCCAATTAGGAGCGGGGTCGTAACTTGTAAAATTCATATCTGGACGGTACCCCCTATGAAAAATATGAGTGTTTATACAAATTCAATTCAAAAGACTTAAAATAAACATCGTTAAAGCGTAGAAAAATTGAAGTTTACTAGCCGTCTTGTGGATTATATAAAGTCGAAAAATTATTTTGTGGCTGCTCATTCGCCGGTGGTGACAAGTTTAAATCAAGGCAAGCTCTTTCATCAGGAATCTGTCCGGCAAAAACTGCTTTAGAATAACCACCCGATGACTGGGGGTTATCCCTATTATGCACGCCCTCATTATTGGGAATGTCTTCAACCTTGACGTACATTTCCAACAATTTTATTACAATAAATTCCCTGTATTCATCTGGAATCCGCAAATAATCTCTAAGAGTTTCATCATCTTCGATGTTAAACTCAGAATAATAAGCAAACACCTGCGGAGTCACAGAATACGGAAATCTACCTGTTACTTTAAGGTTCACCGAACGTTTCCTGACACTCATTTTTTTACGTAACAACGATACCAATTTATCGTACTCCATTGTAAGCGACAATTTAACATGACACTGTGGAGGTGAACTATACCTCACAGAGTTATTCTCCATTATAACCTCACCCCCTAATATAATGAAACCCTTATTTTTGGCTCTTCAGACATTATAAAAAAAATGCTTGATAAGAAGAAGAGAAGTATGAACGGAAGTTTGAAGGAAAGTTTTGAATGAATTTTCATAAAATCCTAACGCCTTTAAATAAGGCAAGTCCTAGCTTGGGGTGCAAATTTTTTTTTTTTATGTAAAATGCAATATAATACCACGTTTTATGTATTTGAATTATTGTTATGTCAGTTATCCGCAAAACACTTATTGGTAGGCCCAAAAATTAGTGTAAAATGCAGTATAATACTGCATTTTAGTATACTGCATTTTAGTAAAACGTAGTATAATTCTACGTTTTACACTACAAAACAAATTATTTATGTCAGTCCTGTAGATCACTTATTATTGGTGGGTCCAAATTGAAGTAAAACACAATATTATACTACTTTTTCCTAAAACGTAGTACTATACTGCGTTTCCCTATAAAAAAATAAATTATTAAATAAAACACAGTACTATACTACGTTTTATTTTAACGGCTAATTTTTCGTTAAACTAAAACGCAGTATTATACTGTGTTTTAATTAGAAATGTAACTTTTTTTTTAATTATATAAACGTATTTTAAGTCCAAAAAATCATTATTTCAGTTTCAGCTTCTCTCATGCGGGGCACTTTAATCACATTTCATTAAGTGCGTGAAGGAAGCATTTGGACAATCAAAACAATAAAATTCTAGAATTGTCTCTGGAGTGTTGTTGTGTACAATCGATAGCAAAGCAAATACTCTAACAAATGTTGTGTACGACCGATAGCAAAGCAAGTACTCTAACAAATGTTGTGTACGACCGTTAGCAAAACAAGTACTCTAACGAACAGGAATTATTGTACCTCTTAACTTAAACTTTGGAAAATTTTATTTTGAGTCTCATACAACTGACACTAGTTGTATGAGACAACTTTTTTGTCTTATAATTTTGTGGACCCAGATTTCTGTGGACCGAGAAGTATAAGATTGAGTCCACAAATTTGTGAGACAAAAATGAGCCTCATACAATTAATGTAAGTGGTATGAGACACAAAATAAAACTTCTCCTAAACTTTAAATTCATCTCTGGTTATGGACGGGTTATTGCACAATAAATGGTCCATGCTAAAGATAGCCAACGGACTTGTCCTCCAGACAAGTACTTAATTGAATAGGATCTTCACATGTTACATATGGTTAACTACAGTTGAGTTAAAGTCAGTCTCCTACTGTGTGATTGGAATGTGAAGGTGCTAACAATTTAAGGGAGAAATTGCTTATTCCGAGCACGTTGTTTGAGATTTGAGAGTGACTCAGTACGTGAAAAAAAACAAAACGAATATATTTTTCCTGATAACTAATGAAAATAGTTCCATTTAAGGCTTTAAAACAACTAAACCAAGAGACTTTATCTTGACTATATTTTTACAAGTTGAGGTGGGTAATGAGTCACTCGAAAAGTTAAAATATGTAATGAGAGAGCTTTAAAAGTTCAAGAGAAAAATATTATTAAGCTTGATGAAAAATTAACACATATTCATATCCACTACTCTCACATTCGGCTACTAATTGTTAAAGCTTGGGAGTTGTCTCGCTACAAAAGTCGTTAACAATACACTTGAGGTTTGCAAACAAGTCATATCATGATTATTATAATGTGATGGAGATTACAATTCAAACTGAAGTAATAACGAAATTATTTGGTGAATATATTTTCTTGAAACGTTTGGTTCATTGGATAAAAAATGAAATATATGGATATAATATAAAAGCATGTGTTTGGTTTTATAATAGACAAACTATTATTTTCAACTTTAAAATCTTGGTCTTCTTAAAGGACTTTAAAAAAGAGTTTTGGAGAATGGCACTTTTGGTCATTTGGTTGTTTTATCTCAAGATTATTCTCCCACATTGAATACGATATAAAAATGATACCAAAATTAGGGTATAACTAAACACAATTGTTTATACCGTACCAAGAAAATACACTAACACAGGATTAAATAACCGTAAAAATTGCACGGGGCGTCCTATTTGATCGCCCCCATTTAACCTATACCTATTTTTTTAAAAACTTTTAACTTGTACCCACTTTTTAAACAACTTCAGCTCCCTTTCTTCTCCGCTTCAGTACCTCACCAGAAGAAAGCAAGGATCTAGATTGAGATTGATATGCATAAAAACAATATCACAAGCTGTGCAAAAGCTACCCTTTCACGTTCTTACTTTATTTTTTAGCTTTTCTTTTTTCCCTTCGAGAATTGGAATGACTGCTCTAGCTCTCTCCTCTGCTTTCTACCCACTAATCCAATCCCCCAGATGATACATGTATATATCACTCTCCGACCTTTGTTTTTTTCTTGTGCCTTTCACGTTTTTAATTAATTTAAAAATATTTATACATGCCTAGGTAATACAAAACGAGCAACTGTATGTAATATTAATAGGTGGTAAAAAAACTTCAACTCCAGAGCTGAAGTTTTTGTGTAGTAACTGAGAAACTGCAGCTCTAGTATGTAATATTAATAGGTGGTAAAAAAACTTCAGCTCTAGAGCTGAAGTTTCCCATTTACAACACAAAAACTTCAGCTCTAGATGTAATATTAATAGGTGGTAATAAAACTTCAGCTCTAGTATGTAATATTAATAGGTGGTAAAAAACTTTAGCTCTAGAGCTGAAGTTTCCCATTTACAACACAAAAACTTCAGCTCTAGAGCTGAACTTCAGGCCCGGCTACTAGAATGCTGAAGTTCTGCGTGATTGCCTTTGCTACTTCAGCCCCGTATGCTGAAGTTATGCGAAAAAGTGGGTACACTTGCAATCTTTTTTGCAAAGCGAGCACAAGTTAAAATGTGACACAAAAAGCGAGTATAGATGCAAATGCCCCTAAATAACCTCACATTTTTATTCCAGAATGATCAATATTATATTCCCAATAGCCTACTAACAACTTCGTCGCTTTGGCCGAGTGGTTAAGGCGTGTGCCTGCTAAGTACATGGGGTTTCCCCGCGAGAGTTCAAATCTCTCAGGCGACGTTTTGTTTTTATTCTTTAGCCCCTCAATAACTAATTTTTGGATATTAACAACTTTCCAAAGCCGATAACTAACTTTGTGTTATTTCCCGCCATTATAATTACCAATGCCAAAGTCCAAAAAGTTTTAGCCATTGATTATCCACCTCAAGAAAAACATCTTAAACAAACACCATTACTATCTAACTTCCTAGTGAGTGGGTTGTACCTATTTCCTCTCATTTACTTCTCCAAATTAACAAACTTTTTTCTAATCCTTTTTGGTGCTTAGCTTATTCATCAATCGCAATATTCTTCACTTAAGAAATCATTTTTATTAGTCATGAACATTTCTGTAATAAAAGCATTTGGAACCTTTCTTCTTGCATGGTTCATTATATTTCAAGGTCATTTTGTGGTTGTATATGGAGATTTTAATTATCAAGAAGCTCTTACCAAATCGATTATTTTTCTCGAGGCACAACGATCAGGAAAACTTCCTCCTAATCACAGGCCCTTATGGAGAGGNCAGTAACAACTTTAGCATGGGCTGCTATCGCGTATCAATCACAGCTCCAAGCTGCTGGAGAATTAAAAAATGTTCAGTCTGCTATCAAATGGGGCACTGATTATTTCTTGAAAGCCAGTTCTAAGCGTAATCGTCTCTATGTCCAGGTTGGTCCCAAATCCCAATAGTTTCCAAGAATATTGAGAATTAATGTAGTCCTAAATTTATTCTAATCGTGCATTATTTTTGAAAGGTTGGAGATCCAGTGAAAGATCATGAATGTTGGACAAGGCCAGAAAACATGAAAACGCCGAGAACTGTACTAATGATAGACCAGAATAATCCTGGAACAGAGATTGCAGCTGAGACTTCTGCAGCAATGGCGGCTGCTTCTGTTGTATTTCGTGGAACCAATCGTACCTATGCCCGTCAACTTCTCAACAAGGCCAAACTGGTACTCATTCTATCCTCATTGTGTGATGTTTTATATCATTTGGCTCCTAAATATATGCTCATACTATTTTTTTTGGGTTTGTGGCTCAGCTTTTTCAGTTTGCCAAAAGCCATAAAGGAACTTATGATGGGGAATGCCCTTTCTATTGCTCCTTTTCTGGCTTTCATGTAATATCCCTCTCCCTTATGTTCATTTTATTATATGGTTAATTAGTTACATGCAAGTTATTGTAATTTGTCCCTAAAATGTGCAAAAAATGTAGGATGAGTTGTTGTGGGCAGCAACATGGCTATATAGAGCAACCAGGAGGCCGACATACTTGGAATTCATACAAGAGGAGGCTACTACTGCAACTGTAGCTGAATTTAGTTGGGACCTTAAATATGCTGGAGCTCAAATACTCCTCTCTAAGGTAATATTTAAAACTCTTTCTTTATATAGACGCGAACATGTGGTGCCATGCAACAACACCAGGGCACAATTGGGGTCGAAAAAAGTGCTGATATTCGGTCCATAATATGCAGTTCTATTTTGAAGGGGAGAAAGATTTACAGAATTTTAAGCAACAGGCTGATGGTTATATTTGCTCAGTACTTCCACATAGCCCCCATCACCAGGTTTATATATCTCCAGGTACTTCTTTGTTTTGTACATCGAAAAATTCATGTCTTTCATCTATTGAGCTTGTTTCAATGGTTTAACAAGTTAAACTGCCAAATGTGTAATTTATCAGGGGGTCTGCTTCACCTTAGAGATGGAGCTAATACTCAATATGTTACTGCCACAGCTTTTCTGTTTAGTGTTTATAGTGATTATCTAGCCAACCATAAGCAAAAGGTCAGCTGTGGTAACAAACAGTTCAATTCAGCTGATCTCATGGCCTTTGCCAAGCAACAGGTAATATATATTAGCACTTTTCTGATGCTTCTCGCAATTTTAATCTTAGCAATAGGCCAGCCCTGGATAAAAATTTCTAACGCCGTCATACTCATGAGAGCTATTTCTGCCACTGTATTTTTAGTGGAGTACTATACTTTTTATTTGGAACAGGAGCCGTTCTAAAACCTTATGCCCGTGTATGTGGGCACATCTTTAAATAGCGATTGAGAAATGAAAGCACAAAGTTTCTTATGAATAATTAAAATATGCAGATGGACTATATACTAGGCAAAAACCCAAGAGGAAAATCATACATGGTTGGTTTTGGGAACAAACCTCCAACTCAAGCTCATCACAGAGGTGCCTCTGTCCCGAAAATGTCTCCAAACAAACTGGTGGACTGCTCCATGAGTTTTGTGTACTGGTATAACACAGAAAAACCCAATCCTAATGAGCTAACAGGCGCCATTGTTGGTGGTCCTGATCGATATGATAACTTTGAAGATCGTCGTTCCACTTCAGCCATGACTGAGCCAACAACATACACAAATTCTTTGGCCGTTGGTGTCCTTGCAAAGCTCGCGAAGCACCATGCCCTGTCTTGATCACCTAGCCACATGTTCATTATGGGGAAGATTTCTGAAGGTGTACAAGTTATTTTTTGCAGATGAATTGACAGTATATATAGTGATGTCTTTGTAGGTCCTATATATGTAGTGACAGCCTCGGATAGCTGGCTGCAAGGTATCGGGGCAAATAAGCTCGAGTTTGTCTCTCTTTTTTTCAACAGATCAGATGTGTTTAACTTAGAATAGGATTCTTTTGATGGTCTAGAATCTAATGTACTACTCTTGCAATGTTGATTAGTTACATAAAGTCTGCACCCAAGAAGAGTACTTTCTTGTGGTGGTTTTATAGATGAAATATTGTGTACATTTGTAAGGAAACACAAATTTGAATAACAGTAATTCCAAGATCCTTACTATGAGTTAGTTTCTAACAACACAAATCTCTCAACCTCCCATCAACGGAACAGTGTCTGTACTTCGATTTTTTCCATATGAAAATCAAACGACGCATGCATGTCTATGACATCATATACTCATCTTTATATCAAAATTATATTTGTCATGCCCAGAATACAAGCACTCCCTTCCATTTCATTTAAATCAAGACGTTTCAATGTAGAGTACTTGACAGGTAAAAGCATTGTTTCTAAATTGGGTAACAAAAGAGTGAGCACAGATATGGAAACTAAAAACGCAGAAGATCAGCAATATTAAAGAAACCAATAACATTGCAGATCAACATTAATAACAAACTCAAAAACTGAGTAGTGTTTATGCGAGGCTGGCTGCTGCATCAAGTACAGGAGCTCGGATGCCAAAAAGAGGCAATACGTCAAAATCCAAAGAAGGAATAAGAACAAGCTTCGAAACATTTCATTCAACTTTATGATTTGTACAAGCCAACATCAGAAGATAACAACATATATGAACCTGCAACAGAGTTTGCAGTTTGACTAGCAGTATTAATGAATGAAATAAAACAGAACTATGCAACTATTTTACTGAGGCATGTATTGCAAAACTGGTTCCACTCATCAATGGCAAAAATCATACACAAAAGAAAACCTTTTCTTTGTAAGGAGTACTGATTGACTAGCTATAAGCATATGTACATCAGTCAATTATATTTTTTTTAACTAAAAAGGGGCTGCACCTGAGATCATCTTGATCACAGGCTGCCTACGTACCCCCAACAAATCCTAAAGAGGGATCAAGCCCACACGTAGTTCTTTTACATACTATATTACAAATCAATTATCAATCTGAGTATCTACTTTCAGTATCACCAGCAGCCTTCCGCAAGTTCCCTTGTCTAATTTCTTCAGATTCCCTTCTCTGATTATTGCATCAATGTCCTATGATCAGATCACGGTTATGTGGTTGTATCTTGAATGCTATCTTCTGCTGCGGTCTGCGTAAAATGATCTTTATCTTCTTAGTTGTCTTTGTTGCTGGCTGGATATTGTCTTCTACTTTGGATGACGGATGGTTCAATAGCATGTCGCCTGTACAACGTGAACTGGGGTTCTTGAATGCTATCTTCTGCTGCGGTTTGCGTAAAATGATCTTTAGCTTCTTAGTTGTCTTTGTTGCAGGCTGGACATTACTGTCTGCTACTTTGTATGAATTCAGAAACGGATGGTTCAATAGCATCTCCGCTGTCCAACGTGAAGCGGGATTCTTGACTAGACACCTCTTCAAAAAATCTTGTGCTTCATTCGACAACTTTGCGTTCTGAAACATTGGTTCCTCAAACCCGATTCTGTATAAAACATTCGAATCTTGACTATCTTCATCTGATTCCCACAACGGTGTCCCCGTCATCAACTCGTAGACAGTGCAACCGAGAGCCCATATATCAACTTCTGGTCCGTACTTTTCGTCAACCAGGGATTCTGGTGCCAAATACCTTTCAGTTCCCCTCAGTCCATGCTTTTCTGCCCTAGTCTGTTCCAAAGTCATAGAGAGCCCGAAATCTGCGATCTTGGCTGTTTCATCAGTGCCCACAAGAAGAATGTTATCGGGCTTGATGTCGCAATGAATAACTCCTCTGCTGTGTATGTGAACGAGCCCTAAAACAACATTCCTCGTGTGTTTTCTAACTTCAAACTCTGACAGTCCTTTTCCTGAGTTGTAGTTGTGAAGATGATCGGCTAAGCTTCCTCCGGAGGCATATTCGAGAAGTAAGTTGTAAACGGCGACGCCATCTTGTAGTTCAATATTAGGTCTGAAACAGTGGATTACGTAAGGCGAGTCTGCAAACATGCTGAGGAATGCCTCTTCATCTTGCAATGATTGAGAGCGATGGAGTAAGCAAGATTTTATGGCGATGAGAGGTGGAAGCCGCTCTAACGTGGGAGGCTGATTATCGGACGTAGAAGCTAAAGAAACAACCCCAAATCCACCTTCACCCAGTATTCTCACTCTCTTCCACAAGAGGGAAGCCATTTCTGAAAGTAATTTGTGAAATATCACTATGTAGTTTGTGAACGTCTGCTGCTGCTGCTTATATGTACTCTCACGTTATAAGGTGAAGTTGACGAGTATTAGGAAATCCCAATCCATTATTAATTAGGTTTCTCACTTTCCTTTTCCTATTTTTACTTACGGCTCTATTCATTTTTTACGCCACCTCAACTTTTTCTTGTGTTAAAAATAAAAATGCAAATATTTTATTTCAAATGAGGCTAGGGTCAGTTAACGAATTTGATTACTTCTAATTTTAGAAGACAAATGGCCAAAAAATAACACAAATATAACAAATTTCTTTTGTTAATAGGATTATTTTGAATATTTTGTCAGTTACTATTTTTATATGTTCCAGAATTAGGCTTCTTGCAAATTTCGATGATAAATTTTTTCATAGTGAAGAACGTCTTTCATAGTAGATTTTTACTCAAATTTGGAGTACAAAAAACTAGGCCAATTTTTTTATGAAATACTATAATCGTCCTTTTGATTTTTGCACGTTACTGTCAAATCCTCAAGAAAAAAAATTATTTAACACATAATAGTATAAAGCATGAAGATTTATGTAAATTCCTCGGGGATAGAAACATACTGAATGTGGCAAAACGTGATAGTGAAGAAAAATTAAAAAATTAGCTTTCAAGTAGGTTATTTTTTAACTTTTAGTTATCATATAGTCATATATAATGATTTATTTGTTACAACTATGTCTTTCTTCTTGCTTCATTTTAATATATAATGTGGACTTTACTCTAACTTTTATTCTTTTTAATTTCATCTAAGATATGATGTCTATTTGTTTCAGCTGCATATTTCTATTTTTATTTTTGGCCGAATTTGTAAAATGTTTTGTAGGAACTGTATCATTTTAGCCAAATAAAAAACGGTTAGCAAAAATAATTGAGTACCAGTTGTGTATATTTTTTGTTTTTATTTATTTATATATAATGTCTATTTATTTTAATTTTGTATTTTTATTTTCCAGTCAAATCAATAAAAAAATTTGGCTACAACTCCATTATTTTTTACCAAATAAAAAAAGTATAGCCAAAATAATGGACTTGCAATTGTACACTTTTTTTATTTCTTTCTTTTGATGCAATGACTATTTATTTCAATGGTATATTTTTCAGGTAGAATCTGTAAAAAATATATATTTTAGAGCTATATAAAAAATTATAGCCAAAATAATAAATTTCAAACTATGTATTTTTTATAACTTTTTAAATTTCTTGACCAGAGGCGGACCCACGTTGTGGTTTGAGGGGTCACGGGACCTCGTTAGCCTCGGCAAAATTTTTGTATATATATCTTATGTATATCTATACATATACATAGGACCCCTTAAATATTTTGTGCGTGCCCCAATACAAAACGCCGGATAGGAGAAGTGGCCTTGTGCACTTAAGTTCCCTGCTTCTGTTTTATCTCCTCCTTCCCATTTTAGTTCTTGCTTTAATACTTAGCAAATTGCTTTATTTTTTAATTTTATCTTCTTCTTTTTTTAATTCAATTATAGTTTAGCACTAACACATAATAGGTTAACTTAATTAATTTTCTTTTTCAAATTCCTCACTTAAAATTAAAAACCTCAAATTGTAATTTATTGCTCCACAAATAAAAAAATATAAATCATTCTGCCACAACTTTCTTTAACAATCACTTTGACCCCGACTCGACAATGGTAACTAAGAGTTTGAGACTCTTTTACGCTTCTTTGACTATTAACACCCTTAATCTTGATTTCTTTAGTAAGTTTTTGATAATTTAAAGTTTGAATGCCCTTTTGATCATTGACCCCTTTTTTAATTAAAAAACTAGAAATTTTAAAGCGTGAAACATGCTTAATCAAATACCTTCCGCTCCGTAACAACCATTTGCGAAGAAATCTCTCTCTCTTTGTTCGGTCATCGGTGTTTTTTTTCTTTAGAACTTTTTGTTTATACTTGGATAATAAGTCATCATAATCATTAAGTTTTCAAAGAGTTGTGCGCTGAATTTTATCGCTAGTGATTAGCATATTGCGGTGCCTCCGTTGTGCTCAAATCTTGGGTCCGTAATCAACGTATTTTTCGTAATATCCCTTCTGCTGGTTGACACTCTCTTTGCCCCTAAAACTTCGAACCGAAAACCCTGCCCATTTCAGCAGTTCGTGCAAGATCATTATATTTGAACCTTTATATGCTCTCACTCAAGATTCGAAGCAACAAGTCAACAACAATAACAAACCTAGTGCAACCCTACTTGTAGGATGATATCAGATTTGTTATTGTTATTGCTTCGAATCTTGAGAGTCAAATAATTTTTTTTATCACAATTTTTATATATTTTTCCAGTATCAAAATTTTATTTAACAAAATCTTATAGATTTCACATCCAATTTGTCTATTGAAATTTAAGAATTTAACCCTCGAAAGCCAAATTGCATCAAGTAAATTAAAACGGAGGGAATACTGTAATTGTAAGATGTCATTCTCTATGTTTTGAATCGTCAATCCAAACAATTGAGATCTAAAATAATGTTTCTTCTTTCACAACCCAATACGATCACCGATACAATGCATCGATATTCCAATAATTTTAATATTAGTAAAAACTTATTGGCATTCGGTATTTGCACAAAGACAGAGCCAAACTTTTAACTCTATGAGTTCTGAATTTTAGAACTACAATTTTAAGTATTAATAATGGAGTTCTAAATTTAATATATGTTATATTAAATAAATTTATTAACACAAATACACTTTAATTTTGAGCAAAAGTTACTAGTTCCGATCGACCTCGTACCCAGGCTTCTTGCTCCGCCCCTATGTTTACATCAATGCATTTCTACCTCTAATGTTTTCTATGCAATAAACACTCGGTGTTCAGCCTGCAGGTTTGAGATATGTTGTAATTACTCTCCCCTCCAAATTTTATATGTTACTTTTGTTTTTTCCGCATCTTAAGA